AGCACATTTTGAGTGAATGCCATACTGATGACTGAATAAACAAGTTTTCTATCTTTTTTCTTATTTTATCTGTTTCCATCACCAGTTTTGTAACTCGTCTACGTTTCCCCAAAGCCTGAGCGACGCGACGGCCGGTTGTGCTAAAAGATTCAAAGCGAGACAGCGCGAGTTTTTGTAATATTAACGTTTCAGCACTTCTCGAGCGCGCTTCTTTTACGAACCCATCGTGGAACGAGTCTTACGTTTTTATTTGGGGTAGGTACTATTTTTATTCACACGTTGAGAACGCTATTTTATATGTGAATGAGGGATTGAAAAAAGTAGAATCTCTAAACCACTTCTGTAAATTACCCAGATAACTTAGGTATATTACATAAGCAAGATTCTACAGACCTTCAACTCAGAAGGCGCACTATTTATCTTATAGTACTGTTATAAGTGACGTTTATCTTGTAAATTATTATATTATCACCTAAATAAAACATTAGGCGTTTAACCAATTACAACAGTTTGCGATGCTTTATCAAGCTTATAACTTTTATCGTCGAACACAGGACAAAACTATATAAAAATAACAAAACCTGCAACATTCTGTTCAGTGTTTCAAATAATATAAAATGTTGTGTGTAGAGTTAGAATATTCTCATAATTTCTGATTGTCCTTGTCCGGGCCAAACTTCACCTTCACTGGTTGGGCTTTTATTGGCGGTCAAGCTTTAGATCCTGGCACAGAAGTTGCAGCATTTGCAGCGGTGGGAATGAGAGGTGGGAATAGTCCCTTTCTAATTGTCCTTAATACCCTTCGAAAGAAATATAACTCAAAGGCGACTGACTGACTGACTGACATAGTGATCTATCAACGCACAGCCCAAACCACTGGACGGATCAGGCTAAAATTTGTCATGCAGGTAGATGTTATGACGTAGGCATCCGCTAAGAAAGGATTTTACGAAACTTCACCCCTAAGCGGGTAAAACGGGATCCACGCGTACGAACTCGCGGGCGGCCGCTAGTTAAATAATAAACCACATCTACTTACGATATAATATGTCTAAGAATAGAAGACATCTGCCGCCCTAATATGACGGCAGGCTACAGATAATAAATTGTAATGAAGACATACAACATCGCGGCCCATTACAATGGCTTGTGTCAGTCTCCGGCGCACACTGGGTAGAAGAGATGCTGCCCGTCTCAAGAAAACTTCACGGTACAATTAATGAAGTTCCTGATATAATGTAAGACTGTTTTTTATTTAAGTCAGACGAACTTAAAGACTGCTGTATAAGCTGTAGATCCTGGCTACACAGGAGTTTTACGTCTGATGTTAAAGCCAGAGTAGTCAATTCAAGGAAAGCTTTGTTTTTTTTTGTTACTAGTATGATCGATGGCACATCAAGGTAACGCTATGCAGATGCACCTTATGCAGATGCGCCTTATGCAGTAACTGGTGTTGTTTTGCAATAAAATATCTAGTCTGATGTACATTTTGGCCTTAGTACGAAATTGCAACTTGTATAATGAAGAAAGCATCTTTTATAGCTGAGGACAAGAGTCTCGTCTTGATACGGTTCTATGGACAAATTTATAAAAAGGTTTTAACCTATTCTTACAAACTTACATATCATGTAAACAAAATAAACATAGTTTTGCCCTATTCAAGTCACCGCCATATAGACGTCATTATCATAAAAACGTGAGTGCACATTTTATAGCCGTCCGTGCTACTCGTACCTTCCCTCAAATAACTTGAATGTTGTCTAGAGTACTCTAGAGTGGAATGACGACTTGCGAAAGGTCACTGGCAAAAGCTGGATGGGACAAACGATAACAGAGTAAAATGCCACTTATTGCCACTAAATTACTACTTAACCCATGTCCAGCAGTTGACTTCCATAGGCCAATAAATACGATAATTGTTTATATGTTTGTGAAATAAAATATTTAAAAAAATGCATAAATTTTCAAATTGGTCCCAGTTATAGGCGTTTTTTCTGCCCAGTGTGCGTCATCGTCTGCGCCCACATAATATAGGATTACACATCTGTGTGGTCTAATCTGCCGAGAGCATGACGAAGGTCGGACGACGTATACGTCGCATGTCTGACGTAGGTATGTCACGCTGCGGATCGAGAGCAAAATGCTTTGTTGTATTACGTGCCAGTTGCTATGAAACCTGATAGGAATATTAATAATTAACTGGAGTCTTGTCGTATTTTTAGTGGATATTTTAGTCTTTATCGGGTATTAAATATTCGTAAAATGTTGAAGATTCTGAAACTTTATTTCTTTAGAAAATTGTGAAAATGGCAAAAAATATCGCATCTTTAGGTAACATAATAACATCTCTGATGTTAAATCGGAATATAGGTAAAGAAAGAAAGATTAAATTGGCATCAAATCACAAATGAGAGATGAAAACAAAACTCAATTCTAATACATTGTGTACATCTTTGAATTCAATTAGAAGGCCTTGAAAAATAATGAGAGGAACGTTGAAATTGATCTGAAAATAAACCTCCACCCGACTTCCGGGGCAATGTAATGCCCGTAAAACGGGAGGTCGCAGCCTCCTGCAATATTCAGGAGGACGAACAAATGATGCTCCATACGAGAAACTAAATTATTTTCATGATAAAGCTGGAAGTCCACTTAATAGTAAAGCAATTTGCATGCGATAATTTTGAATAGCAAAAGAAAAACTTCTGAAGCACAAGTACGAGTATCTTCATTTATTTAACTAAGATCAAAATTGGAGCGATATTACGAAATAGATATTATAGAACTATCTGCCCTGCTCAAAAAACCTTATTAATAAAATTCAAATGAAGCAAAAATAAATGAAAAACTTTTCTGGTGGTCCAAACAATTGGACTTTCTTAATTTTAATTTCCTTTCTCACTGATATTAGGCAAATTAGCTTTCTTTAGCATCATCATCATTATAATCATCATCTAACTGCTGAACATAGGCCTCCCCCAAAGCTTTAGCATAGCTAGTACTGTGCTCAAGTTTAAGTTTAAAATGAACAGATGTTAATTGAATCTGTCTTCAAAGTGAGCGTCTAAAAATGTTCATATTCAATTCACTTTGATCAGCGAGACGTGTAGGAATATTGCCGGTGAAATATTAAACTGGCACTTTGAAAAGCAACGCGCCGCAACGCAAGTGCTCTTCATTTAGCAACGCAGGAATATAAAAAAATAAGAAACTTAGTTTGATTCACCTTTCAGAAGATGCTGCACGTGCTGAAAAGGTGACTTAAAAAGCTACTTTTTCTGCTTTTTATCAGAATTGGCTTATAGCATTGTCGCAAAGCATTTGCTTATGGTGAGAAATAAAGTTTTATATCATTTTTATGAGCTGTATTGCGAAAATAAGTAACTTTTTTTTTGCTTTACATGTCTTTTAACTCTCATCTACTATTATTTCTGTACAAGCCTATATGCAAAAAGATAATAAGCAATGTGTTCAAACAATCTATAAGTTGGTTGTCCTATTAAACAAATAAAAATAAGTAGGTATGTCCGCAACGTTTTTCAACATTCTTGTCCGACTTCCAAAATAGGTTTTTCTACTACAAGTTTTTCACCATTCCGTTTTCAGGAAAATTGAGATTATACGTCATACGATCGCTTTATTGTTGGCCGNAAAATAACTATTGAATCTAAGGGCCTCACACTGATCTAAAAAGCTCATTGCTTAACCTTTCAGTTTAAGCTAGTTTGCACGCATTCCTGTAAAGTTTTTCAAAAAACGTAAAATAAATCTCGCGGAATCAAATCGGCGGATCTACCCTGGCACGCTTTTGAGACTTGGAGAGCGATCTTACGTTACAAATGTATGTATGAAATATTATTTACTAAAGAAAAATCATTTTTAACAACCAAAAAATCTTCTGGTTTTTTTTGTATTTTTATTTCTTTGTAGTCAAGTTTTAATTTTGTATACAATATTAGCACACATTTTAGGCACAATCACCTTATTGTAAAAACAAATTAATTAAAACAATATTTTAGGCCACCCATGTGTTAAAAAATATTCGAAATTATATCCGTATTCACAATATACAGGGTGTTAAGTAAATGGGTATATGAGCCGACACTAGCCCATGTTAAAATGGTCATATAAATGGTATAGTGAAGTCAGAAAATTGATATCTTCATTTTAATTATTTTAATTTTCATACAAATCGGATTTTATAAATTTTTTTTTGTTTGAAAATTAAAAAAAATAAAATGATGATATCAAATTTCTGACTTTATCATACCATTTATATGCCCATGTTAACATGGGCTAGTGTATGTCGGCTCATATACCCATTTACCTAACACCCTGTATACTTTCTTAAGTGAAGCAGCAAATCGAACGCACAGCGTTGAATAGAGCTCTGTGATTGGTTCGTGTGTCACCCTGTGCGTCCACGTGCACTTTGAGACCTCATAGTAATGTTTTACATGTTAATGATGTAGCCCTTTACAGTCCACTGCTGGACTATGAGCCTCCTCCACTATAGTGGAGGGTTTTGCCATAATCCCCACGCTTGGCAGGCGGGTTGGAGAACGCAGTTTAAAAGATTGATGTTTTTCAGAGAGCGCTGCTTCGTTTATGAATACGGACATTAATCTCTTCAATTAGTTTCAAACTGCAGAAAATGGTGGAGGAAATACATGATTAAGCATGAATAATATTATATTAACCACTTACTTATTTACCTCTCAGTGTCTTCAGGCAACTTATAAAAAGTACATTCTATGTTTTTATTATTATTTAGGCAGTTAAATACTGCACAGTATTGAGTACACCGTTTTTTATTCCATCATACACAAGAATACGCGTGCGTGAGTCAATGCTCGCTCGTATGTGAGGCCTTGTCGAATAGTATCCTGTAGGTGGGCCATCGTGCGTGTTTTGTTTTCGATGTAAACTCGCGGAGATGAACAGGCCTGGTAATGTGTGCAGTTCCTAATTCAACAAGCAAGAGTCCTGTCTTTTCTTACCTCACCCCACAATACTGGCAAGCTTCGGTCTTTGCCCCAGGCTTTTCATGCAGCTTGATGTGTCTCACCAGCCGCACCCGTCTACTGAAGCCCCGTCCACAATATCCGCATACCCACTGAGGCGGTAAGTGGATTACCGAATGTTTCTTCAGAGTTCCCTGTAACAGATTTTACAAGAGTTACGCTAAGGCATGTTACATACACACAAGGTGGACCGACGACCTCATAAAGGTAGCAGGAAGGCGCTGGATACAGGCCACCACCAACTGGATATTGTGGCAATCATTGGGGGAGGCCTATGTTCAGCAGTGGCTGAAACTAAAGAACGATATCTCATCATTATGTGCGATTTCCACCAAAGCGGATAGGAGAGGTATTGATATTTGTTTCTCTCCTCCAATGATTTGCAGATTGACCGATTGGCCAGCGCCTTCCTACTACCCTTATGAGGTCGTCGGTCTATCTTGTGGGTGGACATCTAACGCTGCGCTTTCCGGTACGTGGCCTCCAGAACCTTGCTGCCCCATCGGCCGTCAGTTCTGCGTACTATGTGCCATGCCCATTGCCACTTTAGTGCGTTGGCTATGTCAGTGACTTTAGTGCGTTTACGGATCTCCTCATTTCTGATTCGATCTCGTAAAAAAACATACATAATAATTATCCTACCCGCATTGGTAAAAACCGGGCCTTAATTTGGAGATCTCTATTTTTATAGAACTACCGGACACAATTTTAATTAATGACAAATAACAATGACAGTTAAACTTTGCCCTGGGACAAACTTGACCTTCACTGGTTGGGTTATTGGCGGTCAAGCTGTAGATCCTGCCTACACAGGAGTTGCAGCGGTGGGAACGAGAGGTGGGAATAATCCCGTTATTATATTAGTAGGAAAAACCTCACCTTATCTTTAAAGCTGGCCTTACACCCGTCGTAGGCACACTTGTACGGGTACCCCCGCATACGTCGCATAATATTATGCAAGCTTAAAATAAAGGGTGAATTTGCGAACAGTATCCAAAATTTTTAATAAGCTCTATAGAACAATTTAACGATACAACTTGTCTTTATCTTAATTTTTTTTTGTCTAATTTTAAAGGTTAAGGCTTATTTTCGCTCACCATTATGTCTATTAAGCTTTGCAGTTAACTGTGTATTTTTTTGGCATCAGTGTCGTGTATACTACCACCCTTGAGATGATCGTTGTTTTATAAAACCACACCCTGTATTAGTGGGAAAAAACTCACCTTATCCTTAAAACTGGCTTTACACCCGTCGTAGGCACACTTGTACGGGCGGACATTGATATGCGTGCGCATATGCGAGCTCAGGTTGTACTTGTTGGGTATGCGCACCCCGCAGACGTTGCATATGCACGCTTTGGTCCGCTCGTGGACTAAGTTCTAGGGAGAAAAGGATAAATAAATAAATCCTTCCTACTAATATCCTGAAGCAGTGGTAGGGTTAATACTGGGACGTGTAAAAGTGCATTTTTAAAGCCTATTTACAGAAATAAATGAGTTTTATGAGTTTTTTTATTATAAATGCGAAAGTTTGTGTGGATGTCTGGATGTTTGTTACTCTTTCACGCAAAAACTACTCAACGGATTTTGATGAAACTTTACAGTATTATTGTTTATAACCCATAATATAGGCTATAATTTATTTATTTATTTATTTATTTATTAGGTACACCAACAATTTATGACGATATGTGACAAATCAATTTCAATAAATAAATAAGACGTGTCTAAGGCCTCAGCCTCGAACTTAGCGGGCAGCGGGGCGGCGGCGGCGGCGGCGCGGGAGCGGCAGGATCTTATGCGTAAAATCAAATAGACCGGTTCTCGAAAACAGCGGCGCGGCAGCGGGGCGGCAGCGGGCAACGAGCGGGCAGCGGCGAGGGAGCGGGCAACGAGCGGGCAGCGCACTCCTTCCTTTGCCCACACTAAATCGAGCGTTAGGAATAAATTTGAATCGAAATAAAATTGTCGCCGTTGTTCAGACATTTCGTTTGCGAATAAAAACAAATATCTCGACAACACAACCCCGAACACAACACTTCGCCGCTAAAGCGCCGCGCGAGCTGCCCGCTTGTTTCGAGAACGGGTCTGCGTTGCCCGCCCCGCTCCCGCGCCGCCGCCGCTCCCGCGCCGGTGCCCGGTAAGTTCGAGGCTGAGGCCTAAAAAGCGCTATCTATCGTCATTGGTAAAAATCTACAGCGCTGGACAAACTACTATTTTTGACATTGGTAAATATTCATGCGGGGGGAAGCCGTGAAACGCCATCTATCAACATGATATCTAACAGAGGTAAAACGAGGTCCACGCATACGAAGTCGCTATACAGGGTGTTAGGTAAATGGGTATATGAGCCGACACTAAATGGTATGGTGAAGTCAGAAATTTGATATCATCATTTTATTTTTTTTAATTTTCATACAAAATAAATTTTATAAAATCCGATTTGTATGAAAATTAAAATAATTAAAATAAAGATATCAATTTTCTGACTTCACCATACCATTTATATGACCATATTAACATGGGCTAGTGTCGGCTCATATACCCATTTACCTAACACCCTGTATATGTAAATAAATCTTTGGACAATTTCACACAACACAACGCCATGGCCATCTAACTAATATGCTTGTGTTATGGGTGCTAGCTTAACGGATATACTACTTATAGATCATTGTGATGGTAGCAACCCCGTCAGTAATAATAATTATGTTAGTGACTATGAAAGTTTAAAACAACATACTTATAGAATCGTTTCATCCACTCGGCCGCGCGCAATGTTTGGTCCCGGTCGCGCGGGGTGCGGGGAGTGTGGTCCGAGCAAGCCGTAAGGCATTACTGTAGTGTGCGTGTGCACTCATGGAGCATTCGCGTGTACCGATAACACTCAAACATTAGCGGAAGAATGGTGGGGCGCGTCCGAGTGGATGAAACGTGAAATTGTAAACCAGTCTTTCCCAAAGTGGGCGATAACGCCCCCTTGTGGGGGCTGCAGGCTTAAAGGGGGGCGGTAAGAGACCCAGAAAAAAAATCGGGACGTTGTGTAGAGGCTTGGGAGGCGTCATCTACTAGGAGGACTCTTAGACACCGACTGAGCTCGACTATTGACTACAAAAAAGGGGGCGCTAAAAAATAATTTATTCTCAAAGTGGGCAGTAGACCAAATAGGTTTGGGAACCGCTGTTGTAAACTAACAGAGGGTTAGGTTAGGTTAGATTGTAATTTAACTACGTCAGATTATAATCTGACGGAATTCACAATTTTACGGTGACATATACATACCTTATGCGTCAAGAGCCCTCGCTTATTTTTGAAGGTAGCTTCACACTTGTCGCAGGCGTGACTCCGGTCTTCTGGGGCTATATGATTCTCCTTCATATGAGCGGTGAGGTGATACTTTGAGTAGAATCTGTGGACAAACAAAAACATAAATATTTATGAGCATTTTACACTGTTCAATCTGGTTCCAAACTTTTTATTTTTATCCACAACGAGGAAGCTCTTGGCCTGTATCTTACCTGATGGTAAATGACGATCAGGCCGAAGGTGGAAGCGAGCTTCACCCGGAATCCTCAACCACGGAGAAACTGGCTATCTTACCTCTAACTGCCGGAACACAACAATGCTGTTAACATTGTTGTTATGGCGACAAACTTAGGTAAGATGGTGGTATTGGTGGTAGCTATTAGTAGCTAGCCAGGCGGACTTAGAACAAACCCTACCACCAACCAAACCGAACAGAAAAATCTGCCCCCACTGGGAATCGAACCCGGGACCTCTGCGTCTGAAGCAGGTGGTCTTACCACTAGACCACAGAGGCGGTTAAAACTAAGCAAAGCTTGTACTGTGTCCCCCAAGGATCCAAAACGACCGGTCCTGCACTGAACGCATCCGGGTGCTTCACACACCCTTCACAAGATCGTCGGTCCACCTAGTGGTAGGCCTGCCTATGTCAGGTCATCCGGTAAGAGGTATGGAAATCCTTGGGAGAGGCCTTTGCCCTGCATTAGACGTCTTTTGTAAAAGCTAAAGTCATAAAGCCATAGTGTAGGTCAAATCCTTCATTTGCCTCTGATATGGAGATACTCGGATGGCTCGAACTTGGAGTGCAAGTGTGGTTTTGTTCCCCAGTCGACGAAGCACATGATGTCGTGCCCTGCGTGCCCAAACAACTGCACGCAGGAAGATTTAATGAAGGCTACTGACAACGCCACTCTTGTAGCGGAGTTTTGGGCTGACACTGTGTAGGTTTGTTGTCGACACGACAAGAAGAAGAAGAAGAAGTCTAGATAGTCGGCCGTTTGGTGTAGTGGTTCGAAACGGACTGCTATTCTGGAGGTTGCGGGTTCGATTCCCGCACAGTACAAACATTTGTGTGCATGAACATATATGTTTGTATTGGACTGGGTGTTTTCTATGTATAAAATGTATGTATTTACAAAAAAAAAGTATTTAAGTATGTTTATATCCGTTGTCTAGTACCCATAGTACAAGCTTTGCTTAGTTTGGGACTAGAAGCGTAGTGTAAAATGTCCAAGGATATTTATTATTATTATTATTATATGATCAAACGAACTTACCAAGTGAAGTTCGATCTCAATTATCCTGTTTTCGCCGAAGAGATTTATTTTACCGTGTAGTACCCCTGTACGACAAGCCAATCCGCACACAATATTCAGCGTAGTAGTAGTAAAAAACAAAAGAGCGGGCAACCCCACCCCTACCACGCTGTGGGCTCGGTGTCCGAGCGGTCTCATTATATTTAGAGAAGAGATGACATTGACGTTTACCTCTAGGGAAGAAGATATAGAAATCTTCGGGTTGGGAGGGACCTTAAATCTCTTCGGCGAAAACAGGATAATTGAGATCGAACTTCACTTGGTAAGTTCGTTTGATCATTTTTTTTTTTTTTTAATTTATTTTAGTGAAAAAACGTATTAGCGTCTAAACGCATTAACGTCTAAAAAAAAATGGTCGCCATTCTAAGGCGAATTAATTGGAATTAATTCATGTTAATCGTGTAGAAATCTCTACGCCAGACGATAAAATATGAATTATGACTAAATATCAAACAAAGTTCAAGAAACAAAAAATAGGTTTATGTCATGTACTGAAACCAAAGCGTCTAACANGCGTCGGTAGTGGAACGACCCTTAGTAAAACCATACTGTTCACTATGAAAAAGTTTATTTAAAGTGAAATAGATCGTAAGCTGTTCTTGTATAATTTTCTCAAAAATTTTACTTAAAGCTGGTAAGATTGAAATTGGCCTAAAATTACCAGGGTCGAGCCTGCTGCCAGACTTAAAGAGCGGCAGAACTTTGCTATGCTTCATAAGGTCCGGGAAGACCCCCTTATCCACACAGTTGTTAAATATAATCGCCAACTGTGGGGCAATGATGTGGATAATATGCTTGACTACCTTCACAGGCTGCTTCAGGAACACATTGAAGGAAAAGGAATATTAATCGTGTTTTTTATTGCATTTGAAATTTTTTTTTTTTTTTTTTATGTGATAGGAGGCAAACGAGCAGACGGATCACCTGATGGTAAGCAATTGCCGTCGCCCATGTACACCCGAAATTGGATTTTCTTGGGTAAAATTAGAATGTAAAATCTTATGATCAGTAAATTCGTGTCAGCCTTTTTGAACCGCCATAGACACAAATCTCAATCGGACCAATATTTTAACGTGCCCTCTAAAGCACAGAATAATAATATATTTTCTGATAATCATGTTCCCTGGTGGAATTTATGCGACTCATTTGAGAATCAAAGTACCTAGAGTTCTGGGTCTTGAGAAAGTCCAACAATCAAAACTAAAGAACACGTATCTAGATCTACGTTAAACATATTTGACTGTAAAACTAGTTTTGCCTAATCCTGAAACCCAGTTTGACCGCAAATCTCCGAGATTCAAACCAAGGAATCTTGGAAGCATATCGTGTACTGTTGTACGGTTTCGATTTGGCCGCGCCTCCTTCGACCCATATCTATATCTACTACATACACCCCAAGACCCCAACCCTTTGGGAGCCAATTAGACAAGATTATTTGTTAGTTATTCTAAACTAAGCCGTTACCATGAAACAGCTCCACAAAATATCGCGCAACAGTCGCTGGCAACGTCGCGCGGTTTGTATGGAAGTTTAGCGATAAACGACAGCAACTGTCGCCGACTGGTTGCGACAGGACTTCGTGGTACGCGTGTGAAATTGCTTGTTATGACTATTTATGAGGGCCATACAATTGGGTTAAGCTCATTCGCCTCGCATTCAAATGTGTATTGATAGTTCTGTATCAAGATGGAGGATCTGAAGATTCTTGGAGGATTAGAGGCTACCATTGGAGAAGTATTATGTAAATTCTGAGAGTATATTTGAATTTAAATTGACTAAAGCTAGGTAAGTATCATGTTTAACATAATAAGTAAATAGAAGGGAATATTTTTTAGTAATTTATAAGGGAATATTTTTAAGTAATAAATTAGTCTCGGTGACAATTTTTTTATAATATTTATTTGCAAATAAATGCAGAATTGAAATGAATCAGTATTAAGTTTTGTAAAATACGAACTACGCCTACCTACTGCAATGTATCCATTTGGCTCTTGAAAAATGTCGCATGTTGAAAAGTGAGAGGGATGGATTGATCAAAATTCAAAGAGTAGATATTTTATGAATAGGAAAAGAAAGAGGCAGATCTAGCCAAAAGTATTATAATCGTGATTTGGAGTAGGACTTCTAAGCCATAACGAGTATTCTCACATTACAATCTCCCATTAATTTTATCCAACCAATTTAACCTGTCTGTTACGAACGGCCTCTTTTGATAGCGTTTATGGTTTTTATGCTTTTATATTTTTCTATATGTCACTTGTCATCTCGCTGTCTCTTCTATTCCCGTATTCCTGTATCTTCCTTTTATCTTTTTAATTATATCGCTTTCCCTTCCTTGAGCCTGGGTATCATTTATCCCTTTTTATCCCAATTCTTAACATTTTTGGGTATGGCCGAGGCTAGGCAGCCCATACGGAGCTCCCCTCACGTTGCTGCACCCGACCCCGCACCAGTCGCGACCGCCACCGCGGCGGCCGCCGACGCGGCATCTGTTACAGGATTGTCATCCCGTTCATCGGCCACAGTTCGTGCACGCACCCTCGCCGCGCAGGCTAAGTTTGCTCGCAGAGCTGCCGACGCAGCGCGAGCGCGCGCGGAAGCGGAACGCGTGCGCGCCGCTGAAGAAAGAGCGCGGTTAGAAGCTGCCGAAGCCGTGGCGAGTGAGCTTGAGCTGCAAGCGGAACTCGCCCATATAGAAGCCAGCTTCAGCCGATCTCGCTCCAGTCGTCACAGCAGCCGCAATCTTACGGAGTGGTTGGAGGATACGGCGCCTTCAAATCAGGCATCGTCTACCAGCAGGTTTGCCTCTCCGGGCGCGCCTATCTCTGCGTGCCCAGGTAAATCTGCTCTTGTTAACGTGCCTATTTCAGGACAACCTGGAGCTGCCACCGGGGATGCGCCTACCTCTGTGCATCCCGGCCGTTCCTTATCTAAGGTTGCTGCGCCCCTTGACCCAACCCTCCTGCCCGCCGGTCCCAGTGTCCCAGAGTGGTTGGAGGATACGGCGCCTTCAAATCAGGCATCNATCTCGGAGGCGAAAGCAGGATAATTATTATTTATTAAGTGGAGTCTGAATGAGCTGATGATGACTCACCTCTTGTTACACATATCGCAAGGGTACTTCTTGATTCCCATGTGCCTCTCTTGATGCTTTCGTAGCGTAGAACTGTCCCGGCAGGCGTAGTCACAAAACACACACTTGAATGGTTTCTCATCTGCCAAAAAATACAAAAAATATCTTCAAACATTCGTTAGATATTCCTTGATATGGTTTCCTAGACTGCATCTAACTTAACACTTAGTGCGATTGCAGTAAAATACCTGCCTCGTTATGCATAAAAAAGATATATTCTATCCTACTGCCTTACCTATCCTCTCCTCATCATCATCATTTCAGCCATAGGACGTCCACTGCTGAACATAGGCCTCCCCCAACGATTTCCATAATGACCGGTTGGTAGCGGCCTGCTTATGAAGTCGTCGTTCATCCTCTCCTATTTCCAACTATAGTCTGGTCTGTGAGCACGTAGCGATAAGGATGGGTAGCTTGGGGCCATTGGACAAAATTCTACGTGCTCACAGACCGAGCTTTAACTAGTATTATAAATTCATAATTTGTGAGGATGGATGGATGTTTGTTACTCTTTCATGCTTAAACTAGCGGCCGCCCGCGACTTCGTATCCCGTTTCACCCCCTTAGGGGTGGAGTTTCGTAAAATCCTTTCTTAGCGGATGCCTACGTCATAACATCTACCTGCATGCCAAATTTCAGCCCGATCCGTCCAGTGGTTTGGGCCGTGCGTTGATAGATAACTATGTCAGTCAGTCAGTCACCTTTGAGTTATATATTATTTAGATAGACTACTGAATGGCGGAGTTATTACGAATCTTAGCAACTGATTGTACAATAATCGATGGAAAAAGACGCTGTCATGTCATTAGTTGACGAAGCAGTGACTTTGCAACAGAGGCGGTACATAGTTCGCCGGTTCAGCTATTTCAAGTGGAAAATCAAGCACTATACCATTGAGTTATAATGTACTACGTACAATATTACTTCAATGCACTATACCTACTAAAAATTTTATGATAGCTATCAACACAAAATTGCGTAATTGTTTAAGCCTCATTTAGTTTCATAGTCCCATAATGGGCTGATAGTGAAATGGTACAGAAATCGAGAGAAATGTTTATACTTTGGTCTGTGATCGTGGTTCGATTCACTTTAGCAGGTAAAAAGGTTTCAAATATCATTATCATCAGATCATTTATGCCCGTATTCACAAACGATACTTGCTTAAGTGAAGCAGCAAATCGAACGCACAGCGTTGAATAGAGCTCTGTGACTGGTTCGTGTGTCATCCTGTACGTCCACGCGCACTGTGAGACCTCATAGTAATTCATGTTTGTGAATACGGGCGTAGTCTACAATGCAGGAACGCGACCTCATAAAGGTAGCAGGAAGGCGCTGGATCCAGGCCGCTACCAAGCGGGCGATGTGGAAATCATTAGGGGAAGCCTATAGTTTTCTTATTCTTATAAAAATCGAAATCAAAAATATTTATTCAGTTAAGACCACAAGTGGCACTTATGAACGTCAAAATATAGTAAATAATAAAAAAAAAAGGTAGCCCTTATGGGGCACTTTACATGTCTCCTTATCTTTTGGGCCCTACCAGCGCTTCGAGACAAACATATGGCAAGTTCTGAGAAGAAACGCCGGAACAAATGTTGTTGCCGGAACTATGTTCCGCAGTGGATGTCCTGTGGCTGAGATGATGATGATGATGAGCAGGAGTACGACCCTCTAACCTACTACAGTCAAATGGAGGATTTGGCCTACATTTCCCAAGCTGGTCAAATCGTTTATTTATGCAAGTAGACTCCCAAAGAGCATTTTTAAAGTCACAGCACACTTATCAACCCGGAAAGGGATCAACACCGTGATCAACAGAATATCGCTGTCAACCGCGATGCGAGGCGTTTACGTTGCGGTGCGGATAAGTGGGCGTCGTTGCAGCAGCAGTACGGAGTTTCGAACAAAGAATAATGACCACCTCGAGTTGGTACGGTTACGATCCGTTTTCGGGTTGATAAGTATGATTCGTCCTTTACACGTCCCAACCTCACTGTTTCGGGACAAGTAATATGGGCCAGTGCTCGTCGAGCGAATGATTAGTTACTTTTTCTGTTTCAGAGGGCAGAGTGTTCTGTGAGGACGCAAACGCCATGCCATGGACAGCATTAGGGGTCTCCTGCCCTGTGAACTGTCATAATGTACTATATGCCATAGAAAGGTACATTTTAAACCAAAGTTCCCATCAACACATCCACTCGCTTCCCACGAACTTCACTGTATTATTATTGATCTTCAATATGAACTGTCGATGTTCTATTCTCACATAGATTTAATATGACCAAACAAACTACATAATTTATAAGCCAAAGCAAATCTCTAGCCTTCGATAAGTAGTAATATAAAGTAAAGTTGCTTACATAGCCCGACGGATTAGCAAGCTGAAGTGGCAAAGGGCAGGGCACATAGTACGCAGAACTGACGGCCGATGGGGCAGAAGGTTCTGGAGTGGAGGTCACGTATCGGAAAACAAAGCGTAGGACGTCTACCCATAAGGTGGACCTCATAAAGATATCGAAGGCGCTGGATGCAGGTCGCTACCAATCGGGCAATATGGAAATCATTGGGGGAGGCCTATGTTCAGCAGTGGACGTCCTGTGAATGAAATGATGATGACGAAGTAGTGATAATGAGTGATAGACCGAGTTTCTCGCGCTGCTTCTTCTCAGCACTGGCCCATTTATTGTCCCGAAGCAGTGGTAGGGTTAATACTGGGACGTGTAAAAGTCTATTTGTAAAAATAAAAAAGTTTTATGAGATTTTACTTCCAGATTGAAAATGTTAGACTACCGCAGCCTACTGGCCGATGACGTCATCATCAGAGACGATCTGAGCTCGTCGAGACAGATCCTCAGCTCCATCGAGGCCGAGCTCAAACTAAGCTATAACACCTCGTCGAACGAGGTCAAGGTGCCGAAGAACGAGGTTAAGAGGCGAACCTTCAACTTTGTGAGGAGGAGCAATAAGTATTCGGTTAAAGAGACATTTAAAGGTAAGAGAGTGCATTAAGAAAATGGCTGACAATGGTGCCTAACCTAAAACACCAGGTGTTATAGATAGTTTCATCCACGAAGACGCGCCCCACCATTCTTCCGCTAATGTTTGAGTGTTATCGGTACACGCTAAATCATTCATGAGTGCACACGCACACTACAATAATGACGCTCGGATTGCTCGGATCAAACTCTCCGCACCCCGCGCGACCGAGACCATAAATTGGTGCATAGCAGATCTGTCATAAAAAGTCATTTTCAAGACCGAATAGGCTTACGGGACTATTCCCAAATCTCGCTGCACTCCTGTGTAGCCAGAATCTACAGCTTGACCGCTAATAAAAACCTAACAGTGAAGGTCAAGTTTGTCCCGGGGGAAAGTTAAACTGTCATTGGACCCGCAACGAAATTAATCAGAAGAATATAAGAGGAATATGGCTGGCTATCTATACAGGGTGGCAGTGGTGGGATAAGTCCAGTTTTCTTTTACAGTGGCCTAATTCACGTATTTTGACACAGTCAAAATCTCGCTGACGTTCAGAAGTCGTCCCATTGAAAAACAGTTCTAAATCCGTATTCACAAGGGTCATTTCGATAGAACGATTACTCGATAGGATCGCAACTCAGCGATTTGTTGTCGTTGAAGTTTTGTTACGTGAATAAGGCTACAGGACCTCTAGCTAGGCTCTGAACTAAATTATTTGTTGCAGACTTCAAAAAACTGTTACACCATAAGAACTTCTTCACCGACCTCCAAAAGGAAATAGACAAAATGGCGGACACCACAGAAAATAAATGCTCTACACTTCTGAAAAAGGCTGCGATCAAACCACACATGCTGAAGAGGATATTGGGCAAATGCACAAGAAGGTCAAACGTAGAGATGGATTTTTTAAATGGATTGACAAACGTTCTGAATAAATACACGACGAAGATCAAGTTTGACAATGACATGACTAGGGTTAGTATAATCGTCTATGTGTTTTAGTGCTATGGTATAGATCATAGATCTAAGTGTCGGCGCAAATAGGCCACCGACCACAGCCACCAGTGGCTGTCGCGCGCTACGGCCACATTTCTAAGAGCGTCAGAAGCGAACGACAGCCACACAGGTGTCTGACTGGAAGCCGCCACATTTTATAACCCGCTCGTTGTTAAATATTCGGAAGAGGTATTTTAAAATATTTGGATTAGGAGTAGTATTGAGGAGGAGTTACCTCCTCCTTTGTTCTTCTGATTAATTTTGTTACTTTCCCCCGGGATAAACTTAGCCTGATGGCCAAGTTGGTATTTTATTGGCGGTAAGCTGTAGATCTAAAATATCAACTGGCTGCACAGGAGTTGCAGCGGTGAGAACGAGAGGTGGGTATAGCTTCCCCCAATGATTCCAATATCGCGCGGTTGGTAGCAGCCTGCGACCAGCACCTTTTTGCTACCTTTATGAGGTCGTCGGTCCACCTTGTGGGTGGACGTCACACGCTACACTCTATTGCCTTAACAAAAATGTGTCACCCTTGTTACAGATACTCCTCCAAAAGATCCTGGGCTCGAACATGGATCTCCGAAACGGGATCTTCGATATAAAGAAGATCCTGAACTACTTGAAGATAGCCATAGAGAACAGAGAGCAGGGACACGACGAGGGCCTGCCTACTGTCAAGCTGGCAAACTCGCACTGTCTGAGCGCGCATTTGGCTGGCTGCTTTTGTAAGAGAGGGTATGGTGAATTCCTTCGTTCATTCGTTTCAGCCAAAAGATCTTGTTTCCCACGACCGTTTACTAAAGCCCGGTCTGTGAGCACGTAGAATTTTGTCCAATGGCGCGTAATTATGTTGCTGTCGCGCTCGCACACTCACTGCGGGCGCGCGACGCACAGTCGCGACAGCAATATAATTACGCGCGAGCGATAAGGATGGGTAGCTTAGGGTCATTGGACAAATTTCTACGTGCTCGCAGACCAGACTATAGATCGTACTGTGGCGACATCTACGACGCGCCACTAAAGTCTAGTGACAGTCAACACCAACAGATGGCGCTGACACCTACTTACTAAGGCGCCGCGCCTACAATCCTGCATCGCGGTGTCGAAGTTTTCCACCCTGACAAGTATACAGGGTGGAATTTTGTAATGCCACCTGGAGGGTAGGAAAGTACTCAGAAACCATTCCTTCCTTCCTTCCTTTTGAAAAGAAATGGAACTGCATTTTTATATTTCCGTTATCGGCGGTCAAGCTAGTAGGTCAATTTACTTCTACCTTTAGTCACTATTATCTAAGGCATGCAGTTGATATGCTGGATTCCTGTAGGCCTAAGATGCGCGCATCGACAATGACATGATATGATAAGACAATTTTCGATCACGTAGATAATTTTATCATTTTCCCTAACATGGGACCATCGATAGAAAAGTCTATCGACCGCTATCGCGTGATAACCGAATTGTTGCCATATTAAGAAAAAATTGCGTTATTATGTTGGCCAACCTTGAAATATTTTAGCTCATTCGTTCAATCTCGTTCATTTCTGCTACTAATTCGGCTAAAAACACATATCTTAAAGCAGTGAGAACGTCATTAAAAAAAAGTTATGTCAATTTTGTTGACATTACATGACTGCTTGATTGTATTTGTTTGTGTTTTTAAAATTGTATTTTTATGTTTCCAGTCATAATTTTAATATTTCTAAAGTACGGAAAATATCAAAAGAAGAGATAACCAAGTTAAAGAAAAACAATGAAGAATTCCTAATCATACCGATAGTATTAAAGAATGAAGTCTTCAAAATTAACAGAATAACCGAACTCCACTACCTACCCCATAATGCGAGGTTTACAGTAATTATTCAACTTACATGAAGCAGTCAGAAAGTTTATTGAGATTTGAGAAATAAAGTTACACTCATAAGTAGCAAAGTAAGTACCTAAAGTCTAAAATATTAGCTATACTCCGCAGATCTTGATTTTCATAAGTAACAGCACCGGAGAAAAGGAAAAATATCTTTATTCCTACAAATAAGCTTTCACCTTCTTTCCTATATTTATTTCACATAGTTCTTTCACCGTGTAATAATACTGTGATCAATATTTTGTATGTAAACTTAAAATACAAATAGGATTAAGTAAATGTTTCTATTTATGAACTGTTTATGTAATTGTAATATTTATAATTGTGTTTAAATAATATTCTTTCTTTTTTCAGACAGTGGATGAAGAAGTGTGGGATTATGAGTGATTATTTCATTCTAAAGCAGACATAATCAAGTCTTGCTCACTATCATGAAAATTTACAATAACAATCAGCAAGAAAAACTTCAAGGGTACTGGCTAGGCTAACCAATTCATGGAATTCTGTTTGTATTTGAAATTATAAATAGCTATTGTAAAACAAAAGTTTTCCAAATAAAGATTTTGTAAATAATGGTTGAATTATTTTGAAATTACACTGCAATAATGAATTTATTGCCTGCGTCCAGCGCCTTTCTGCTACCATTATGATGTCGTCGGTCCACCTTGTGGGTGGACGTCCCACGCTGCGTATTCCGGTACCCGGCCTCCACCCCAGAACCTTGCTGCCCCATCGGGCAACATGGAAAGCATTGGGGGAGGCCTAAGTTCAGCAGTGGACGTCCTATGGCTGAGATGATGATGAATTTATTATAATGGAATAAATTGTACAAGATTATCATCCTGTCACATTAAAGCCCTTAAAAAAGACCACATGGAGGAATTAGATTGATAGTAATGTGGAATGTATGTATGGTATCACCATCAAGTTATAAAATTAGTAAAATTCATTTATTCTCATTGTTATTATAGCAAGTTTGATTACACATCCCACCCAATGCTAATTTCTGACAATGACCTTGCCACTGTTTGATGTAGACACAAGAAGCTCGGTCACCACATTCCGCCCCATTTTCAATAATTTTACAAGATTATGTACAGATGACAGTAGGTACTTAAATCAAGCTAAACACTGTGGGGTATCTCACGACATTTGCAACTTAATATGTATTGTCTGATGTACTGTTGACTGCCTACCTAAGTAGGTAAGTAATGGTTATTTTACAAGGTAGGTAATGTAATAATTAATATGTGGGTGGGACTGTGGGAGCACTAAGATTTTGCAGCTAGCGATTATAAACTGTCGCAAGATTCGCCTCACACTGATAAACTCTTGAACTAGAACTCAATCTCCACCTAGAAGTAAAAGTATCACAAAGGTGCTAGATTCCTTTCTTTGAATTTTACTAGCCTCAAATTAGTCGTAAAATGTCATTTACCATTATAAATGATAAATAAATAGAGTTAAAGTAGCTTGCAAAAAAGTTAATCTCCTATCGTCTTGCTATCGTGGGCAAGGATCGAGGACGATAAAAACACCACATCCTATCCTATCGTGATGTCAAAATATGATATAGTTAGCGCTTCATGTTAGGGCTTGCCAGGTTTATCACAAAAAAAAAAACAAATCTATCACTATCACATTTTGACAGATGACATGATAATTTTCGGGGTGCCATGTTAGCGCCGGTAGATAAAACGATATAGTGACGTCAAAATCGATATAACGCCGCGATAGCAGTTTATCACGGCGCGCATCTTAGCCCTGCTGGCTTGAATTAAATTCTTAAATTCTCGAGTTTTTTTAGACTTTGATCGATACTACGCTTCCGCGCAATCTATGCGCATGTCGTGGCAGCTTTTAAATAAGGCTACACTATAAACATGTATTTGTTTTTCGTCATCGTTTCAGCCAAATGACGTCCACTGCTGGACAAAGGCCTCCCCCAAGGTTTTCCACAATGAACGGTCCTGCGCTGCCCGCATCCAGGCTCTTCCCGCGACCTTTACCAGATCGTCGGTCCACCTAGTTTTTCAACAATTTTATTTTAAGTCCTAATTATTTTTCAGGTTCGTGGAACACTCTGGGCGATGCGTGGAGCCTTCCAATTGCACAGAAGAGAAGTCGCTCGCCAAGTATATGGCTAGGATTATTGTCTACTAGTATTATTTTGCATTAAAGAATTAGGATAAAACTTTAATAAAAATAATTTTGCTAATGATCGTCTCTTCCTATGTTCTGATTAATTTCGTTGCGGGTCCAATGACAGTTTATCTTTCCCCCGGGACAAACTTGACCTTCATTGGTTGGGTTATTGGCGGTCAAGTTGTAGATCCTGGCTACACAGCAGTTGCAGCGGTGGGAACGAGCGTTGGGAAGAGTCCCTTTAATCAATGTGTCAATTTTCTTCTCTTAGGTAAAATCGCTTTTCTAATGGTTTATCATCAAAACAAATTTTAATTACTCACTATGAAGTTTTCACTTATGAAAAGACCTAAATACATTTTTTTTTGTATTTAACAACTGGAAAAAAACTACAAATAATAATGCTTGTGTGAGAGGAGTGAGTTCACCACAATAGTCCAGCAGACCATGGGGTTCGAACTAGCTATCCACGAAACTTTATTTTAGCTAAAGCCTGGTCCGTGAGCACGTAGAATTTTGTCCAATGACCCCAAGCTACCCATCCTTATCGCTCGCGCGGAATTATGTTGCTATCGCGCTCGCACACTCACTGCGGGCGCCCGTCGCACAGTCGCGACAGCAATATAATTCCACGCGAGCGATAAGGATGGGTAGCTTGGGGTCATTGGACAAAATTCTACGTGCTCACGGACCAGGCTATAATCTTTACTTTTACGAAACTTTATAAAGCAGCAATCTTGTTTTGCAGTTTTGTGATGCCATAAAATTAAATATAAAAAGGACTTACCAGAGTGTATGAATCTGTGTGTTGAAAGCGAATACGGAGAGTTGAATCCTTTCCCACAGACGTCACAAACGTTGGGTTTTTCACCTGAAAAGAAACAAACCAACTTAAGGTTTCAGCAGGGTATACCGGATCGCTTTAAAGATATAAGACCACCTATTTTGTACCCTATATTTTGTATTTTATTTTCTTATCTTGTGTGAACGAAAAAGTTATTCTATCTATATAACTTTTTTTTTACATGGCAAAAATGCATAAAATTGCAGGCTCAACCTATTTTGAAGATTACCCAAAGTTTTTTTTTCATTATTCAATTAATAGGTTAGATGACATTTTTTTAGAAGTGACATCACATGATGTTTCAACTCCATATACTGTAATTATTCAATTAAGAAAAAACATGAGTCCAATATTTTTTATCACTATTTGACGGACTTAAAGAATTTCTATTTCATTACAGAGTCATCATCCCAATTTCTTTCTTTCAATTTAATAAAAAAATAATTTAAAAATTACCTGTATGAACTCTCTCATGGGTCACCAAGCCGGACTTGAATAGAAACAGTTTCCCGCAGTATTTACAACTGTACTTCTTCTGTTTGCCTCCGTGCACTCGGTTGTTGTGTCTCGTTAGGTACTTCTGGGTCTTGCCTTTGTACGGACACTTCTTGCACTGGTACGGGTCTGCCGTATTGTGCGTTTTGATATGGTGGGCTAGACTTGCTCTGTCTGCGAGGACCTGAGAAAGAATGAATGTCTATTGAAGAGCATGTCTAAGTTTATGTGAACACTAGCTTTTGCCCGCGGCTTCACCCGCATGAAATTTAGTTTGTCACAGATCGTCATAAATTATAGCCTATATGTTAATCTGGATTATAAACAATAATACTGTACAGTTTCATCAAAATCCGTTCAGTAGTTTTTGCGTGAAAGAGTAACAAACATGTTAACATCCAGACATCCATACAAACTTTAGCCCTTTAGCATCTATATATGTAAAAGAAAGTCGTGTTAGTTACTCCACTTATAACTCAAGAACGGCTGAACCGATTTAGCTGAAAATTGTCAGGGAGGTAGTTTAGAGCCAGGAGAAGGACATAGGATACTTTTTATCCCGTTCGAAATTAAAAAAAAAGTCTGCTTATTTATTGTCATTAAGGCGGAACAAAGTTCGCCGGGTCAGCTAGTTTATAATATTAGTAGGATGTGTACAAGGCAATAGTATTATTTTAAAGGAAGTGACAATAGTGACTGAGTTTCTTTTGCTGCTTCTTTTCAGCACTGGCCCATTTTAGTCCCGACGCAGTGATGGGGTTAACCTCTTACCTACGGGAGGCGCCTATAGTTGCCAAGTCAAAAGTCACTTCTCAATACGGGTGGCATCTATTGTAATTTTGGCAAAGCCAATACTAAATCACGGATTACGAAAAAAATACTATAAAATTGCAAATTAAGTGTAAAATGCGCTTGTAATTATGAAACTACATTAGTTGCAGAATAAAATATTCCAAATTTCAATACCGTAAGTCTAATAAATTTTAAAATATCTTGATGTTAAGTGGAGCAAGCAATTTTATAGGTTAAAATACCCCGTATTGAGAGGCGATTTTGGTTTCCAAGGGCCCGTAGGTAAAGGGTTAATACTGGGACGTGTAAATGTGTTTTTTAAGAGCCTACTTGCAAAAATAAATGAGTTTTGTGTATTGATATCTCTTCACTGGAGGAACACAACCCTACCCAAAATCGACCGATCAAGTTAACTACGCACCTCGTTGGAATGCGACTTTTCTTTGAAAACTGAAACTGAAACTTCCCGCTGAAAACCAGCGTCGGGGCACGCGTGCATGCACGCGTGGCTCGATTAATGCTGAGCGGGCGCCTTTTTGGCACAAAATAATGCGTGTACAGTTTAAAGTCCCTTTGTTCTGTTTTTCTGTTTTCTTTTGTGTCAAATAAAGTTTTTCTTATTCTTATTCTTTGCACTCGCCCACACCTCCCGCGTACGCCCCGTCCTTGGGGGCGTCCATTAATTAGGGGCCATCCATAAAGTACGTCACACGAATTTCATGATTTTTTGACCCCCCCCTCCGTCCTTGTCACATTTCTGAGACCCCCCCCTCCCTAGTGTGACGTCACATGTTTTGCAATTTCACATCGAAAAATTATTAAATTAACAGCAGTTCCGAAATTAGTTTTATTTCCATTTAAATTAAGTACTTTTTNTCACATTTCTGAGACCCCCCCCTCCCTAGTGTGACGTCACATGTTTTGCAATTTCACATCGAAAAATTATTAAATTAACAGCAGTTCCGAAATTAGTTTTATTTCCATTTAAATTAAGTACTTTTTTTATGAAATCAACATTATATCAAACTAGCTCACCCGGCGAACTTTGTTCCGCCTTAATGGCAATAAATAAGCAGACTTTTTTTTTAATTTCGAACGGGATAAAAAGTATCCTATGTCCTTCTCCTGGCTCTAAACTACCTCCCTGTCAATTTTCAGCTAAATCGGTTCAGCCGTTCTTGAGTTATAAGCGAAGTAACTAACACGACTTTCTTTTATATACATGTCGGAGCGTCGGGCTCTCGGACGGCACCAGAAGGGTCTCTCATTGAATTCATACTATCTACCTATGTGGGCGTATAGGGAACACGTGCGAGTGGATACTAACACTAATTATAATCACTGATTATAAACGACTAACTTTACTAGATTAGAATGTAAAGACTGGTTCGTAATTTAATCAATATTGTCCACAGTTAAATTTAACAGAAAGATCAAAGTTACTGAATTACTTTAACAAAGCTAGAGACGCCTAGACTTAATAAATTGGGAGCGATTGACGAATGGCACTCTCATGGCCCCACCATCGGTACTCACGACCGATCAGCAGCTATCGAAACAAATTCAATCAACTGCCAAACCCATGACCTCATTACTCATCATCGCCGCGCAGTCTCCGACCAGCTAAACTGGGTTAGGAATATGACCTACGATCGACAACAAGACAAGGCCCTGAGTACTCTTAGTCATGTTAACCAGCCATAATTTTCTACAAAAGATACTACAATAATATCATCATTATTGCCACTATTCGTTTTCAAACTCATTAGCTCTCTTTCAATCTCATTAGCGCCGACAACGGCTAAACCTGACTATTTCTCGTTCTGTGGGGACGTAACATTTCAGCATCACTAAATAGAAATCGTAAGCACATTTACAAGTTCTATAAACAACTGACTAATGATTTTAAAATCACATCGGTCATTATCTCAAATCAAAACAAATTAAATAATTTTATTGCATAATATAAGTACTCGTACATAAAGATCACACATTACTTACATAGGTTTTAAGGCGTCACTAACCGTGTTGTATGTTGTAATTAAAAATAATTCAAACACGACCAGTCCATAAAATCAAATTAAAACATAACTCTAATTAAAAAAAATATCAAAATTCAAATACAAATAAAATTTAAATTTAATCAAAATCAAAATTTAAAATAAAATCAAAATGTAAAATGTAATCAAAATTTAATTAAAATTTAAATTCAATCAAAACCAATGTTTTTTAATTAAATTCAAATCAAATCAAAATCAAAAAGAAAGAAATCGGAAAGTTTAGTACTTGCACACAAAGATAAGTACTGCTCATAAAAACCTATCAGTTTTCTGAGAGCGACGATTAATAAAAATTTAATTGAATCAAGAATATTGTTGAACTTACACCATACTATATTGGCATGTCTACAACAGAATTAATTATTTTTTTCATAATTCTAGATCAGAATAAAAAAAAGGAAATGTCAAATCTAATATTAGCAATCCTAGTAGTCCTAAAAACAAACTACTAACTTATTTTGAAATACCTACTTACGATGTTAAACTCAATATCAATCATCAAGAATGAACCCAGTGTAATAACAATGTCCATGATTTTGAGAATACCTACTCATGCATTTTAATTTTTACATTGCTTCTATGCAAATTCGTTATAACAAAAATAATTCAACGACGCTAAATAGGTTTACGATAGTTTGGGTGTAACATGAATCCAGTTATCATGATTTTTTTTATTTAAACAAAATCACCAACATTAATTTTGAAATGCGTTCTTGATATCTCAAATCTCTGTTTATTTTTACTTAAATACGAATTGAAATTCTTATACCATAATCATTGTTTATTTATTCAATGTTTGGATTGGAACACTACAACAGACTTGAAAATATGACATAATTAGAAACAATCTGACAGCATTAGAAATGTTCTAAAATTGCATCTTTTCGGTGCATAATACCAGACATTCAATATGTATTATCAAATTGAGAGTATATCATCAACTTTATTGCGAGAAATTAGTTAAAAAGTTGCAATCAGAAACAAGTGTAAAATCATAGCTAGCAAAAAATTACGAAAATATTTATGGTTAAGTAGGTAGGTACTTAACGATTGAATTCCTCCACATTAGACCCCAAAGCTCAAGTACCTACTTCACTTTAGATTTTTTTAAACGATCCCTTTTTTTATTGATTTTTGGTTTCAAAACTTCAGTGTTTTAAACAAGGTCTCTTTACAAAAAATCCCTTGTTCGATGAATTCCAAAAGAAGTATGACATCACTATGTCAATATAATTATTATAAAATGGAATGTAGTTACATAATTACATTTCCTAGAGATTTGTAAAAATACAGAAAGTGAACTTCTCAAAGGATTGGAAACTGTATTGCGATTTTCATTAAATTAATAATAGCCAATATACAGGCAAACAGTACACTTTTAGTAATGACGTCTAATGTGACACCAAAATATTTCATACGCTACCCATTTTTTTTTTGTATAAGGTGTTAAAATGCATTACGAAAAATATTCGCTAGATGACAGTACTACGAGTATTAGCGTATTACTTTTGGGTTGACACTAAAACATGCCTTTCCTTGAATCTAACAGTATGAAAAATACTGAATTTATACGTGCACTGTGACTTCAGCAAATCAAAACACCCTTAAATCATAGAAGATCTGAGTTAACACCTAACATGTCTGTGGATGCTACTGTCCACGAAAGTGTTAAATCCGTCTTTCTTTTCATTATTAGTGTGGCAAACAACAAATGTATAGCTAGATAGAACTGAACTGAATGAACAATTTCTTTATTTAAACTAGCAATAAAACAACAGTGGTGGTTGTTCACCCTTTAAGCATTATANCAGGATAATTGGTACCATTGGATAGAGCTCAAGAAGCACTTTCAGGATCAGTTACCAGTTTTTGGATATCTTGTATAGTTTTTAATATTATGAGGTTTTACTAAATGTATGGAGGCTGGAAACATTGAATTTTCAGATAGATCCAATTTATTATGTAACCTATTATTGGTACCGTTGGATAGAGCTCATGAAGCACTTTTAGGATCAGTAAGCAGTTTTTGGATATCTTGTATAGTTTAGAAATAATCGAGTGAGATCACTTATCGTTTCCACCCTGTATATAGATTTAAAATATAACTGCAATAATCCCATGATTGATATTTACACCACCTGAATAAAACATTTCGCATAAATCGACGTTCATTCCGTAGAAACTACGAATAAAATGTGAAACATTGGCGGACAATAAAAATGACCGAATCGACAAATAAGAAAATACTCGTAAAAACGACACGTGAAAAATTCAGAAACGTTTTTATGGCGGCCATAAATGCGGCAATCTCATGTAAAGTCGAGTGGCCGAGTCCAGGTGGGGAGAATAGCTGCCATTCGTCAATATTCGGAAAAGTTCGGGAAAAATCCCGACAAATATTTTGGCAAAGATGGAAAATAAACAATAGAATTGCGCTGCTCATTTGTTTTCTTTAATAAGCTGAGCTATTTTATTTAGAGCTCTAATGAATGAAATGGTGCATAAACAAGTATTTCTTTTTGCAAAATAGCGCTTAATTCAACTGTATGAGATGGTAGAGTAAGTATTAAGTAAGTTACATTATTCTAATGTGATGTACCTAATCATATAAGGTCTTGAAAATGTTAATTTGGACACCCTATAAATTCAATACAACATTTCTTTTAAAACTCAAGATGAAAAACAAAACAAAAAACTAACGAAGACGGTTTGCAATTTCTGTTAGTTTACGACAAAAGTTTGTAAATAGAGCTTATTGTAGTAATAGATTCAATGAACCCAAATGTCATTGAAAGTTCACGCGACAAAGAATCTTGAGGGCATAAAAACAGATCTCATTTAAGTTTGAGTAAATGAAAAATAAATGTCGATTTTAAGGTGTGAAGTTAGATTAGTTTTGAGATTACAAAACTTATTCAATCCATTCTTAGAGGGTCCGATAATGTTGAAACTGCGTACATCAGCAGGTAGTGTCATCTTCATCAGTAATATTTAATAACAACGTCAAAAAAGGTGAAGTGCGAACGACGAATTGACATTATACGATTGAATAGGCTCTAAGTAAGTACCTACTTATATGTATACTAAATACTTTCGTAGCTCTTATGTACTTTTAACAATTGAAAAATGCTGTGTTTATTAAAATATAATAAATTAATAATCACCACAAATAGTCTAATCCCGTAATAAACATCGAGTTGTCATTCGCCTCCAATGATAAGACCCGAAGAATTCGAAACGTTTAAAGTAGAAAAAAATATGTTGAATTCGTGTCATAGTAAATCTTTTGGCGACTTTGCTATTACAAAATTAAAGCTGTTGTCAATAATAGTCGATTACAAAGAGACTGAAGTTGATAGACTGACACCCCGAAACCAATTCAATTTCCATCGGCGCAACATACTCGTAGTATCGTAGTAATACATCATACACCGAACGTAAATCAGTTGTCCCGCTCCTGTACACCTCCACTTCAATATATTTTATCTCAGTCATAGAGATCTAAACTCTATAGACACCTCTCTAAGGTTTGAGAGGAGTCCCAAGGATCATGGACATCTAACAATTGAGCACGAAACGTCACAAAAATCATATAACCGAAGGCTATTCGATTTTATTACAATAAAAGAGTTATGTGTCTGAGGGGTTACTTTATCGATAGTCATTTCATCATCATCATCATCATTTCAGCCATAGGACGTCCACTGCTGAACGTAGGCCGATAGTCATTTATTTTTTCGGATATCTCTTAAGGACTCAGTCCCATTGACGGTAAATTACTTGGAGTGCCATTATACTGCAATGGCAAACTATCTATAATTTGAGATTATAGCAATCACAAGTCAAGATTTCAATCAGAACAAAATCGTCTAAATTAAGCCGTCATATACAAAAGACCCCAAACACGCAACGAGGAAATGTAAATGTACCTCATCATCATCATCATTTCAGCGTACTCGTATGTTAGTCCACTACTGGATTATCCAGCTATTGGCAGCTATTCCAACCTCAAAAAAGATGCCATAAGTCACGTACTAACAGTAACACGATAAGACTTTATCGAATTGAAATCCAAAACCAATGTTGACAATAACACCATCTTGGGAATAAATAATAACAAATAATAAATATCCCTGGACATTTTACACTACGCTTCTAGTCCCAAACTAAGCAAAGCTTGTACTATGGGTACTAGACAACGGATATAAACATACTTAAATACTTTTTTTTTTGTAAATACATTCATATTATACAGTAAGTAACACCCAACCCCATCACAGAAATTAAAATTCATCTTGGAATAGTAGTCCGTTCCGAACCACTACACCAAACGGCCGAATACAGCCGATTACGTATGGGACTACGTAAAATACTAACTTTGTAGGCGTCTATCATCACAACCTGTCTACACACTCGGCCACCGTTTGGTATTTTTATCAATTTACCCGCACAAAAGCTACGACACCTTAAATCTTCTTTTATAGCTATTAAGGGTCGGTGTGGCCACCAAAATCACCAAATCCCGCAGCTTACGGTGCCCGGCGCTCTAATGGAGGGTTATTATAAGAAGTCGCGATAAAATCCCTTTATTAGAGGGCTTTGTAGTATCTAAATTGAATCTGTTTTGTTTGATAAACAAGTCTGCAGGTTGTTGGGACGAGATAATTTGCCTGAAAAACGAGGTCTTTATGATGGAAAGGGTTTTAAACCAAGGTTTTAAAGAGTGGGAAAACTGGGTAAAGCATTTTCTTAAAATTGTATTGGAGTAGTTTTGTACGTCTATATACTTAATCTATTTGGTGCCAAAAAAATATAAAATGTTGCGTTTGTCTTAGTACTTAGCTGTCTACCACAAATGTTCAAACTTATAAAATTGTTTCTGAGACCAATTTTCAGAGTTATAAAAAATAGTATTGACTAACAAAAGGCTGACAAAGGTAATTACTTACACTTGGCTGGTGACGGAAAATAACGGAAGCTAGATTCACCAGCTAATAAATGCTGTTCAGTCGAAAAGTATAAATCAATGTTAGGGCCTTTATGCCTTAAAAATCCTAAAACTAAACAAGAGTAGGTATTTTTTGTGTTTAGGTGAGCCCAAAACAGAAAGCTGTAAAATATGAGTCGTGTCTAATCTCCTTACCACCGCTACAACGCAAATTGTGTCCATTTTTAAATATTCCAGAGCAATTTTCCGCCCGGTGTGCTCCCGCAGATGGAATTATGTATGAATGAAATATTCCGGAAAAGTGTTCTCTTCTATGACACGACCCGATATTGTTCCGGGAACATGTTTGCGGAATAAACTTTTTAGGTCTAGTTTCCACTAAAAGCAAGCTAACTACAGACACGAGTTATTTAAGAACTGATTGAATGATGATCGGACATCACTCGAATTGAAACTGGTCAAACTGATGAATCCACTTTGCACCGAAGGGAAGTCGAACCTTAACTTCGGTCTCCCATGTTCTTCTAATTAATTTCGTTGCGGGTCCAATGACTCTTAACTTTCCTTTGGGACAAACTTGACATTCTCTGGTTGGGTTTTTATTGGTGGGAACGAGAAGTTGAAATAGTCCCGTAACTGGTAGGTACATAAATAATGTGGTGTCATAAATAAAGTGTTTTGCACAGGATTTTAAATAGAACATCCACATACGAGTACACATAGCCCATAGTACGCAGAACTGACGGCTGATGGGGCACCAAGGTTGTGGAGTGGAGGCCACGTACCGAAAAACGCAGGCTGGGACGTCCACCCACAAGGTGGACCGACGACCTGATGTGCGATGTGGAAGTCATTGGGGGAGAACTATGTTCAGCAGTGGACGTCCTGTGGCTGAAATGATAATGATGATGACAATATTTATACGAGTATAACGGAATAATTATATAAACTTAGCCATCGCTTCGGTCAAATCTAGAGACATGCCTTTAAACTGCAAGCACGTATCACGTCTAGCAAATGTGATAAACAGATATTAGAGGCAAAAGGAAAACAGAAAAGAAAATGGCGGCTCGTTTTATAAACAAGAGACGGTCTATCAAATTGTGTGACAAGTATTACAATTTGAGGAAAAGGGTTTTCTTACAGAAATATTTTTGGAAAGGGTTTACGTATAATATTTTATTGATGAAAACGTTTCCGAGAAAATTTTACGCATTAATATGCAATAAAGAAGACAATTTCAGTCACAAAGATGTTACATACTTTCTGTTTATTGTAGTACCTACAGAGTTGTGTGTGGATCCAACTCACTGTCACTGTCGCTTTGCTACTTCGGATACTTATATCATAGAAAAAATTATAGTATGGACTAGCGGCCGCCCGCGACTTCGTACGCGTGGATCCCGTTTTACCCCATTCGGTTTAGATTTTTTCACACAAAGGATTTTTCTGGCTAACTCCCGTTCCCGTGGGAATTTTGCAATATCCTGTTGTAACTAAGCTTTAAGTTTACAAAGGTCTAACATAAGCTGTTTAGATTTTTCATACAAAAAGATTTTCCCGCTGATTCCCGTTGCCGTGGGAATTCCTAAGTATATCTATAACCTGCCCAGGAGTATTAAGAATAATTGTTTCGTTAAAATCCGTCGAGTAGTTTTTGTTTCTATACGGAACATACAGACAGACAGACAAAAATTTTACTGATTGCATTTTTGGCATCAGTATCGATCACTAATCACCCCCTGATAGTTATTTTGAAAATATATTTCATGTACAGAATTGACCTATCTACAGATTTATTATAAGTATAGATTTGTCCAATCATGGAAGAGAGATACCATGTACGAGTATGTAACGTCTTATCGTTAATGATGTTAATGATATAAGTTTTTAGACTTTGCCTTTAGCAGGTAAAATACAGACCAAATAAAACATTGTGAATCGGAATCCAATTGGAAATCAACAGGTATTTAATGATAGATCGCCCGGTGCTTTGTCCTGCTGGAAGCTCTTCTGGAAGGACTGGTCTTTTGTTCTAAACGTCCTGCCAGAAGATTATCGCAAGACCTGCCCGCAGTACGCAATTTGTACGTGTTTGCTTGCTGGTCCTTCCAGCAGTACGGTGACCTTCAAATTTGAACTCATCCTCACCAGAAGTAGTAAACACTTGGTTAGTGTTTATTAAATAAAAAGTCATGTCGTAGAATCATTTTGTTTAACCAGTATTTTACTTTTCTTAATATATTATAAACTTGTTTATCTTCTTTCAACTTAACTAATAGGAACTATAATAAGGAACTTTAAATTAATTACTTTGGTACGTCACTTTGTATTAGAAATTACACCTATCACTTACAAATACACTACAAATTAAAAACAAAAACAAGAAATAAATTATAAATGTTTGATTAGGCTGGAATACTTCACATTCATTATAATATTATCGCCAAAATGTTGCCGACTCCACGCCCGGCGCGTCAAAATGTGTCGCGCGAGCGCGAACGCGCTGCCCCCGTGTATACTCGTGCGCCATCGGGCTCCGACTAACGGTTAGTCGCGTTTTTCGATCTTGGGCACTATTGGGTGAAAGAGAGAGAAACACTCTATTTTTTCGTGTAAATTTGAAATTTGTACAATGTATACTTACGAAACTGTGATCTTTTAATTTTGCGTCCTACCGGAAGTACTTTAAGTCCTGCTGGCAGGACTCCGGGCGATCTATCATTAACTATTTACACCGCGGAATGCTTACAAATTACAGTTTTATGCAAAAACAATTTGCTTCTGAAATGAGATGGCCAGCTTGAACTGGCTAAGTGTATGTTTTACCCACGTGTATTCCATATTCCGTGTATATTTTTAGTATTTTACGATTTCTGAACTAATGTAGATAATAATGACCAAGTGCATAAGTACCGCAACTTAGTCAATAAACAGAAAGCTTTTATATTATTACTTTTATGACAAATTTTCCTGTAAACTTAAATTTTTACCAAAATTTTACACAATTTTCTCGATAGGGACGGATTTTCATTTGGTTACTCGCATATTATTAGTGCATCACTAATTAGGTGACGTGGTTTTCTAACAGCAAAAGTGTTGCAAGTTAACAAAATCTGCAATTTTGTATTTACAGCGAGATTGCACATGCAGCTCAAGCTTATTTGGTGGTTAACTAAAATATCTATTTGGTAAGCATGTAGTATAGAGTCGACAACTTATAGAAAAAGTATTTTCATTTTCATTGTAGTTTCATTTTCAAGATACCTTGATGTGCTGCAGTCCGTCTTATATTTCGATGTTTACATCGAATCTTACTGATCGAATACTTTTGAACCACCATTTGAAACAAAAACTGTTTAAAAAAATATTTAAAATTCAATCATATTTTAGTTTAGAATGACGCATCTCTATTGGAACACCCCATTTTGGTCATAATAAATATCATCCATATTAAATAACTTCAGCAGAATGGGAATCCAAATGTTTTATGTATTAAATGTAAAGCATCTGAAAGCATTCATTGTCACATGCCATAATTCATGAACGCGTCGCGTCCCGACCCAAAACAAAGGATAGGTTAATAAGCTTCACCCGCTCGCTGCAAAATCCGCAAACCAGTCTCGAAGGGGAGGGGGAGATCTGTGACGTCACACCCCAACCGGCCGCCGAACAAGTACGAAGCTCGCCGACTCCTCACCGAGCAGGCTCAGTGACCCGCGCGCCGCGCCGCTTGGCGAACGTGCGCGATGGACTCCAACGTCGTATTCCCGCGCAAACTGCTCAAACGATTCATCCTTCTCTACAAAGATTTCCCCTGCCTCTGGGACAAAAACTGCTTCGCATACAAACAAAAGCAAAAAAGACACAATGCCATTTCAAAATTAACAGAACTAGTCCAGGAATACGACCCGACAGCAACGCGAGTGCATGTCCTAAGGAAAATCGAGAGCCTACGGGCGTGCGTCCGCCGCGAACACAAGAGAGTGCTCGAAAACCGGCGCAATTTGACCAAGCCCGAAGAGGCGTACGTCCCTACGCTGTGGTATTACGATCTATTCTCGTTTGTCTTCGGCGATGAGAGTACGTCTGCTAAGGATGCGCAATTGGCTGACCAACCGGAGCAAACCGTGAGTTTTATAGTTAGCGCGTCATGCGCCGCGGTCGTGTGTATTACACGATTTATCATTTGTTTACCTCCGAATGTAAACTGTAACTTCGGGCAGTAAGGATGGGTTTAGCTCATGTGAAGTAAATGCGGGCAGATATTCATGCAATATTGATATATGGCGCAGGCGGTTCATTGCGGATTTTTATTTATGTTCTGCCGCGAAGCCGCGATCTGTTGATATGAAATATTTTATACGAAGTAGGCTACTGGCATTTGAGAATGGCTGCTTGGCATTATTATGAAAGGAAGGGTTTGATCATTTTACATCAACTTTATTGACGGACGTCAACTTTATTACGGATCACGATAGTTTTTCCGCAAATAGTAGAGCTCATATTACAATATTATGTAAATACTTCCACTGTTTGCTTATATTTTCAGTTATATTGTAATAATTTGTCATAAAGAACGAATAGATAAGTTAAAAGCACAAAGTAATCGAAATATAAGCCTCCCTGGCTTAAACACGTCCAGCAGATGCTTTATATGGGAGACCGAGGTAAGTTGTAACAGAGGAGAGTTGTATTAACTACTAGCGAGTTGGTAACAGTGCGCGTTTTTTGGTCAAGTTTCGAGCTAACAAAATATACGCGCTGTTGCGAGCTGATAGTAATAGGTTTCCAAATATCAAAAATGGCTGCGTTCAACCGAAAATAGTACTTGTTAGAAATTGTTAGCAAAATGGAGATCGCCATGGCAACCGCCGAAAACTTAAGCATGTTTTCGGTTAGGACACTTTTTTATCCACAACGAGGAAGCTTTTGGCTTGTATCTCACCTGATAGTAAGTGATGATCAGGCCGGAGGTGGAAGCGAGCTTCACCCGGAATCCTCAAACACGGACGCACGTTTGCAAAATTTTAAAAGTGACGTTTCCCATACATTTTTTGACAGTGACAGCACTTACCGCTAAAAGGACGCCATTTTACTAGCTAGCGATATTTTCCGCCAAACTCCCCCAATTTTACAACTCTCTTAAGTCTCCCCTACATGGATTGAAGGGGTAATAGGTGACTTACATGGATGCAGCTTCTGCGCCGCGATGTACTTCTCCAGCTTCCTCCGCAGCACGATCTCGGCCCCGTACCGGCCCACCGAGCCGTTGTCCACCAGCAAGAAGTACGCGTGTCTGTTGTTCAACACCGCCAGTTTGGATCTGCAACAAAAGACAAGAGATGTAGTAAAGGTCACCATCTGGACTAGGATACGCGCCGTGTTAAAGTCTTATCGATGATTTCAGACGACAAATGTATGAGCTTATCGCGCAAAATCGATAAGATGGCGCGATAAAAGTACATAATGGTAGTAGGTATAGATGCGATGACTGCATTCGTTGCCCGTGTCCTACAGCTTAATTCTACTGGTAGTACCACATTTATTTTATTTTTTTAGTGGTAAAAAACCATAACACCCATAGAACTATTGGTAGGACCACTGCGATTTCTTTCTGGTAAGTAAGTAATGGCTGTAGGATTCCTTACGGGCAACGCACGGTTGTATGTATGGATGGACTTTATCGGTAGTACAGCCATTTACGCCTCCTCATCATTTACATTTCAGAGTCCCAGACCATTAGCACAGTAGATAAATCAAACAGTACGGAAGCTTCATACAAACGCTCGAAATCAGACTCACGCACACAGACGCACGCTTTACACGAGCTCTAAGCGAACCTCGCAGTCCATCCGTCGCAAGTGTCGCGCGCGTTGTGTTTTTAATAATAATTTTATTGCATGCACTCTACGCTGTATTTTTAAAAACATGCCACGAGTGAATTGCGTAGTATACGGCTGCTTGAACTCGGCATCTTCAAAACCAGAACTTTCATTTTTTAAACTTCGTAATAATTCTGAATTGTAAAAATGATTAAATATTACTTTTTAAATAAAGTGCTTACATCTGATTTTGTAATAGTTCTTTTTAAATTACGTAATTACGCTTTTTAACAATTTATGTGTTCTATTTGATAAAGTAATTTGCTCCGCACGCTTTTGTACTAAGTGATGAACTGTATTTAAAAATGAGGCAATAGGTATGTGAAAGTAAGTATCCGGTATTTTATTTATGAGAATAGATCTTCTACCGGCCTCTAATAGTACTTAATCAATTTATTCGATTATGTATTCGATCATAGAACCTAAGTAACGTTTTTTTTTTGTTAACTACTTAGGTAATTAATTTATTCCATTAGGTATTTGATAATTAAAAAACCTAAATAAACGTTTTAATAAATAAGTAAGTAAGAACCTCATTAATTTTATAAAGGTTAAGAGTGCCAACCCTAACACTCAGTTGAAGTGTAGGTATTTAACTTGCCGAAAGGGCTAAGTTTCCGTACTGCTTTAGCTCATATATATACTGTGCCATTAGTATTGACGTTTTTCTTAACTTCGATTAGTTCATTAGGCCATCTACTGAATAAAAACGGAATAGTGGAGTTGATATCGTATCGTATACCCAAACAAAAACTATACCAAAGTCCAAAACCAAAAATAGGACTGCAACGCAAAGCGGTAAAATTCCTCAATCCTCACAAATACTTTTGTAAAATTTGTTGCAACAATACTTCAAACATTCCCACATTGCTCAGTTGCACAGCAGTTGAAAACTTCAATCCCCAGTTGAAGCATCGCAAAACTAACGTCCATGAAACCGAAATATAAGTGAAGCGGCAAATCGAACGCACAGCGTTGAATAGAGCTCTGTGATAGGTTCGTGTGTCACCCTGTGCGTCCACGCGCACCGTGAGACCACATAGTAATGTTTGTGAAAACGGGCGATAAATCCTTTTTAAAATGCGTTTGAAATAAACCTTCATGCATTTACCGCTGAAATACGTACCAGCGGACTTTAAAAGGAATGCAGCCAAAAAAACAACTGAAAAGGGAAAAAGGTTGAAAGAGCAGCTGAAACTACAGCGGACCAATCAGCTAATCGAGTTTACACAACAGACTGTTCGGAACACAAGTTCTGTGGGAAACGTGTGAGAGAGACGGAATATACATATTCATTCTATGGGAGAAAAGGACAGGGCAGTTTAAATAGAACACGATAAATTTTAATTACATATGATAATGCTAGTCCAGCTATTGTTATGAGCAAAACCGACTAAACACTATGTAAATAACACCAAAACGAATGTAATTAACTATGTTACAAAATTTATAATGATTATACAATACTTCAACAATACTAAGCGGCTTCAGTTATGGATATCAGACTATCACAATAGAATTATTGCGCACACTGCCCGTGATAAAATCCTGTCGTGTACCTCAGTTATGATGATTTTCTTTCTTCCTCAAAGAAATATAATAATTATTTAGAGAATTGTAATGATTCCAATATTGAGAAATACAAACTTTCATTGCCTATTTCAGCCTCTGAAACAGTTTAGGGATAAAAGAAAACCTACCATCTCTTATGAAAAAAAAAAATCATCAAAATTAATTTTGTGTGTATCAAAAAAGCTACGTGTCAAAAAAACTTCAAAAGAAAAAGTTTAATAACTATTTATTATCACTTTCAGTCGTATATTTCATCACAATTAAAAGTTTGTTTCAGACTCTAATAAATATCCATTGTTGGTAGTAAATTGGTCCCAAAAACTAGAAAACAAAAGACAAATAAAGGACGAGACGAAGGCCATTTATATAATTTGGCTATTCCCAGAGCGCCAGGGAATATACGACAGAATTTTATTATAGTTCTACCTGTGCTCTCCAATATTTCTGTCCAACAAAAGACATAGTATTCGTGGCATTTATCCTCTAAAGAGTATTTATCTTTTGTTCACATAAGTCTCTATAACATACTTATCTAGGGGCATATAAAATATGTATAACGCCGAACAATGATGATATAAATTCTTACTTGAATATAAAAAGAAGCAAATTAAATGATATTGTATAAAAGAACTTGTCTACTCCATGTAGAAATGGGAATATGAATTTGAGTGGGTAACACCAAGAATTAAACTTTAAAGACTCTAACTTTTTAAGAAAAACTTTACTTTTATAGTCCTGAATCCAGCGACCAGAACTTTTATAGCTGGTAGCAGGGAAGCGCTGGACGCTGGATGCTACCAACCGATCAACGTGGATAGCATTGAGGGAGGCCTATGTTCAGCAGTGGACGTCTTATGGCTGAAGTGATGATGATGATGATGATGATGATAGTCCTGAAAACAACTTTGATTTGATTTTAAGTGGCACGATTGCATGTAACCAGCGGACACTCACTAACTCGCGCTTCTTGATAAAACAGCTTGTACAGTAGTCAATTAGAAATATGTAATATAATAGTCTTTGTTATAATAATTATAATTACGAGTATGTGCTCTAACAGCTGCAAATAAACTGTCCATTCCCACTGATAATGCCATTAACATGTAATGATCCGATGTGAATACGGAAGTGGTCGACAATAATTCTACAATTTTAATTAGCATTTCAATTTTGAACTACATTTTGTGTAATAACTGCCAATTAGCCAGTAAAATTGCCTTTCAGAATCACAATAAATTCAGTCATTTCGCATTATAGTGACCTAAATTTTTATTGCGTAGTATGAAGGGTTCACATTAATTTTATTTCTACATAACAGAGAAGATTATAGCCATAGTGATTTGAATTTTAATTAGGTAGTTTAGTTTTTTTCAAATTACACAGTGAGCTGCAAAATCTAACGCACTAAAATGTAAAACACTACACAAGTCACCAAAAAGGACAACAGGCCCTTTCAAATCAACAGTCGACGATTCGTAATCCAAAAAGAAAGAAGACAAAATATCCAAATTCATATTCAACTCGTGCCCATCCCAGCGGTGGCAAAAACACAATTTGTCACTACAAACCGCTGCTGAGCAGATTCGGCAATATACAGGGTGACTTCGAAATCGTTGGCATCCTTTTAAACTAACTCTACTCACAATGACACATAATACATTCCCTGAATATGAGACAAATCCAATGAGCTTTTTATCTTAATTTTACTATTTATTTGTATTATTGTGCTCTTATAAGAGTTTAAAACGAACATCACATCAGACTTTACATTTTTGTTGCAGAATAACATCTACTACATCGAAATAAGATGCCACAGTGTTAAGTTTGATGCGTTGTAATCTGTACAAGGTTGATTTTTTGAAATTTCAACTCATTGGATTTGTTTCATATTCAGGGAATGTACTATGTACCGTGGGAAGAGTAGGGGTTCCCACGGGTGTGTCATAATAGGCGACTTAGGGACTACACATCAAACAGAGAACGGGCAGCAGCGCTCTCTGAAAAACATCAATATTTTAAACTGCGATCTCCAACCCGCCTGCCAAGCGTGGAGATTATGGCAAAACCCTCCACTATAGTGGAGGAGGCTCATAGTCCAGCAGTGAACTGTAAAGGGCTGTTGATGATGATGTACAATGTACCATGAGTGAGTAGTCTTAGTTTAAAAGGAAAAGTCACCCTGTATAATATCTACCCATTACGTGATAGTAATAACAAGTGGAGGACTCTGTTAGTAACTGAAATTATGATGTTATTAATCAAATAATGACTAAGCTGGCTGGATGAAGAAGTGGCAGATCGTGCTCTTCACGATGAACAGAACTTTCTCAATGAATAAACAAAAAAATACAAAAGTTTCTGAAACATTAAAATGTTTGCGAAGGATTGGTTGTATTTTTAATTTTTTGAAGTAGTGATTCGCGGCAATAAATCTGAATTACAAATAGTAGATTCGAATTACAATACAACTCTTAAATCTTGATTCGATTTTCTTAATCCAAGGTCTTATTGGATTCAACCAAGAAAATACAACTGTGTAAGAAATACAAGAACTTGAAACAGGCAGTTTGACAATCATTTGTAGCAAACGGTAGTCTGAAATCAATAGGGAGGTTTGACAATCATTTGTAGCAAACGGTATTCTGAAATCAATAGGGAGGTACTGACGACAGCACTTCATGCTAAACTTAACTGGTTGCAAAATAAGCGATTTTGCAACTAAATGTATTACTTTGTGTGACAAGGATAGCACATCAGACGACATAAATATGTCTGCCAACATACAGTTAACGGTAAACTAAACTAACTTCGTCATTACAAAAGATATAAGTTATCTACAAAGTAACGTACGCGTTGAAGTTAAGCATGCCAGTTAGTTCGGCGCTTATAACTTTCCGTGTAAGCCGTGTAACGCGAAAGGGAAACAATGTTGGGGATAGGGTTGCCAGAAGATATAAAAATCCTTGAAAAAAGAAACAGAAGCAACACGTAGGTACTCATTTTTATACATGATGCAGCAGATGATTGCAGCATCATGTTTATATTAGTCTAGACCTTTTCTATGCTACTAGGCGGGAATCGATGACACAGTGTAGTATGCCTGTATGCCCAAGGGAGTTTATTTTTTTTAACCCCACTGACTGGTAAATTGGCAACCCTAGCCCGGAGGATCAAAAACTTTAAACACTGATGTAGTTGGAAGAAAATAAACCTTAGTTTCTCCTTACCATTAATGTTAAACATGAATCAAGACTTTGATATGAAGTTATACATTATTTATTATGAACCTTGCGTTCCCGAAATAAAAAGCACGAAGATCATACATAATAGAGAATTCCCTAGTCGAATATTCTGTCTTCTTCGTCGTTAGTCCTTCGGTTTTTTCTATAATAATTTGTTTTCCACAATACAAAATATACATTGACTCAATAGAAAAAATTAACAAAAAGTTTGAAAAACACTTACGTTACAAAGCTGATAAGTTTGGCGGAACACTTCCTAATGTACCATTTCTTTTAGACCGTCGCATTGAGAAAGACCAAGTCTTTCTCTACAAAGTTTTAAATAACCATGTTGACTCCTCTTTTTTGTTAAGTACTATTAGTTTTAGGTGCCCTCGGACGAGTTCGCGTTCTACAAAACTTTTTTCTATTTCTCTCACTAGGACTAATTATACTAGCAACAGTTTTGTACCTAGATCTTGTAAGGAATATAATAATAGGTTTAACACGATTGACATTTTTAATTCTTCCTTACCATCTTATAAAAAACAATTGAGAGAATGTTTGAATATATAACTTGCTTTTAATTTTGACCTACATAATTATTGTGTTTTTAATTTATATAATTTTATTAATATTTAACTTTTTGACATTTTATAATTTTTATTAAATTTAACTGTTTGACATTTTATAAAATTGACATTGTATTTATTTGACATTTAGAAATTAATGTATAATTTATTACTATTCAATTAATTTTTAGTCTGCAATCTGTATTAATTTTAACTGTGGAAACTTTGCTGATTTCTGTCCTATTTTTTGTGTGATTATTTGTCTGTATATGAAAATTGTTTGTTTCCCTAATATAAATAAATAAATAAATAAATAATAATATCTCTGCGCTTCCTTTCTCTAAAAATATGTTTTTACGAATCTATCATCTACGAGTATCTATTCGTAGTGTGGGCAGGCCCCCCACTAGGTGGACCGACGATTTTGTGAAGGTCAGAGGAAAAACTTGTATGCGAGCAGCGAAGGACCGGTCGTTATGGAAATCTAGGGGGAGGCCTTTGTCCAGCAGTGGACGTCATTTGGCTGAAACGAAAGAACGAACATCTATTCTTGAACAAACGTGTTCGATTAAGATAGTTAATGTCATGATAGTTGTTCTAAAAACTGACCAATCTTTTCATTCACAGCAGGATTTAGTGGAAGAAGATGAAGAAGAAAGCGCGGTTGATGACGTCACGTCCTACGAGCCGCCATCTTACGTCACCGACTACCACAACATGGTGGAGGTAGCCGAAAGCCCCTCCATGTCGAAGAGATACAACTTCGAAGATGAATCGAAGAATAAACGGCTGTGTACAGAGATCGAAGATGAATATGATGCTATAGGTAAATTAAAAACTCTGGTGTCACAAAACTAAATTTACAAAATTTTGATTTTAAATCGGACTCAAAAGTTGTTGACATGGAGTTTTTGGCATGCATGTTCTATCATACTTTTAGAAGTATTTAGATCACCAAATAAATTCCAGTGAATAACGTACTAAAAGGCACATAAAACTTACAGAAGTACCTAGTTTCTAAATTGAATCGGTATTTTTAAAACAAGTAAATAAAAACGTAATGGCAACATTATCCCATGTATGCACATGTACATTGTACAGTGCTTGTAGCTTTAGTCACAGAAGTTAAAGCGTAGAAGACGCTGCAAACGAGACATAATGTTCAACTATTGTTTCTAATGCATTTTAGATCCTTTTTAGTTGCGGTCCACGTACAAATACTTTTTCTAAATTGAACATGATTACTATGGAGCCAGCGATTGAACCCCTCTCCATTTTACCGTTCCCATGAGTAAGATACCCAGACACTATAAATCCTTGAGGATGCCCATTCGCGTAAATAAACTGGTATCTCGCGGGCTCAATATTAATGCGCACCTTTTGATTTCAATTGTCTGGGTTCAACAGACCTTTTTTCTGTTAGTGTGCGGTGCGACGATAAGAAAACTGGTAAAAACATAACCCTCAGCTGGCACAGTCGTGTAAAAAGACGTCTTGATAAAATGTAATAATAGTAGTGCAGGGGCATAAAATCTATTTTTTCGTAGAGCACAAAAATGCGAAAATATTCAAAAATACCAGTCGATCAATTCACTTTTGATTTAAAAAGTGTGTTCTTATGACGGATAACTTTTATTTCAAAGTTTTTGTGCCCTAAGATCAAATAATAATGATTCACTATACCATGGCTGAGTTTGCCGATATCAGCGAAATTCTGACATTATCCACCAGTCTATTTTTAGATTCAATGCGTTGCGGCGGCGGTACACCGCGCAATATGATGAAATCATTGCGGTGCGGCGCCGCAACGCATCGTGTGCTTTGGTTCTTATGGTGACTCATATATTTTTCCTCCAGGAATCAACGTGGCCGCCAAACTGCGGACCCTGCCCCAAAACCAGAGGATCCTGGCTGAGAAGCTGATCAACGACGTGCTGTACCAAGCACAGCTGGATGCCCTCAACTCCTCGACTGTGATAACCAATGCTGACCCATTTAAGCAAGATATTATGTAGTTTAAAAGTTAATAGTAATTGTAATTTGCAGCGCATTAATTAACGATATTCTTGGCAACCTCTATGTATAGCAGGGGTGGCCAACCGGTCGATCACGATCGATCGGTCGATCGCAACTATTAGTCCAGTCGTTCGTGGCAAGGTACATGCTACATGATTGTGAACTAAACTATTTAAGATTTCAAGAAGTATGTACCTAAGTGGTAGATCGCCCAAGGTTTTGTTAGTAAACAGTCTAATCAAGTTGGCTACCCCTGCTCTATAGCAAAGCTTCAAGATCGATTTCGAACCTCAAATCAGTAGTCCCATTTAATTTTGTTATTAAAGTTTGTAGTTAAAGAGCTTTTTTAATTATTTTTAAAGCAACTCTTTAAATGATCCTATACCTACGTTTCTGTAAACATTTTTTTTACTAAATAGGTGCTTAAGAAAATATAATATAGGTTTGTACAGAACTTTGCCATTAGATATTATGAAAAATAATTAGGTTTCCGCGCAATATTACATCTCAAGTTACTTTATTTAATAAAAGTAGTAAAATATGTAAGTCAATGTAAGGTACAGAATTACATTACGATTAAAATAAATCAAATGTATAACAAAAAGAAATTGTTTTTTCAACGAAGGCAACTAACAGTAGCTGCTCTTTATCCTTTAACCATAGCGTATAATAATAATAATAAGCGTGCTTTAGCTCTACATTCTACACCTACAGTATTCCAGGTGCAAACAATTTTAGTCTTTAATTTTAGATCAAAAATAAATTCCTAAATGCTTTCAGTAAGCGTATACCCTCAAGCGTATAATTGCTTGAACACTCCTAGGCACTCAACCGGGACTCCGGGGAGTTCGCGAGAGCGTGCACTCTGAAGGATAGGTTAAGGAAGCGGGTATTTGGAGTTAAATGATGAAGGTGCTTCAAAGATTATCAAGATTCTTTTAACTCCTCATTAAGAATACTTAATACCTGTAAGGAATCACAAGAAAGAAACATGACAAATATTAAATGTGTATTTAGATAGTTGCCACCATTATAGATTAAAGTATTTACGAGATATCCAAACTTTAAACATGGTTCTTCCGTACTTTAACTTAATTCGCTCTTGTAGATTGCATTTCATTTATTTATCGATTTGACAACTAAACTCGTGTTAATTGAAAACTAATAATCTCAGATGCTGAAATGGTTTTTAGAAAAGTTATGCTTTGCAAAGAATAGTTGATAGTGTTAACTAAACCCAATTTATTTCTCTCTTTATTATGGACACAGAGCACGGACTTACCTACTTGTAACAGTATATCTATGTAAAGGTCACACACAAGCATTAATCAGTTTTTTATAAACATGCTTGTTCGGGTAAAATCTATTTCTGTGGTCTGGCCTTCTTTTTATATCGTGTGACCTTCTTTTTGGAACGCGATCCTTTTTGTATAATGATAGTGTAAATATAAACTGCCCACTCACAACTAGGATCCTGTATACTATTTCTGTATTCTCTGGCTGTAGCAACCCTGATTCATATGGCCTTTGAAACCTTTACGAGTACGGGATTCCCCTGAGACGTCTGACCAAGGGATAGAATTACAGTCGGGTTAGAATGCCACGTCTTACCTATTATCTTATTGTCGTACACATTATTACGTAGGTACGAGTAATTGAATAGAATCTTAGAAGCGGCTATGTTTTTATAGAAACCAACAGCGATACATTGAAAATGTTAGTTATAAGATAAATGTTTTGGTAAAGTAAAGGTAACGTGTCGGTCAGGGTAAAACAATTCTCCTAGATGACTTTTGATTAAATTGAATTGAAGATTGATGTATGTAAAGCATGTATTGTATCCTCTTTGCAAATAATTTATACCAAGTTCTATTTGATACAGAAGCACTGTATTGGTCTTTAAAACTACATACCATTTACGCTCTGGGTCCGAGTTGATCCAAATCTTGATACGGATGCCCTAGTATTTTTGCCATTGATAACTGAATATTACTTGAAAAGTCAATCATATCTGATGGGGAATAAGATAAATATTGCTTGTTCATTTTCAACCCAATTGATGGGCAACAAGATACATAAGATAATCCCTATTCCTTACCTGGGCGAAGCGATAGCATGGTACGGGACGTCTCTCCCCTTCCCGATGAGCTCATTGGCACCCTCCACGATACCCCACGGGGCGATGCCGATGCTAACCACCCGCCCTGCTCGCTGCGACCGCTCTAGTTGAAGAGCGTCGCCTACTTGGCGGGTTACACCTGTTGGAATATAACAAAATTATGGCAGGACCGTTCATTATGGAAAACCTTGGGGGAGGCCTTTGTCCAGCAGTGGACGTCATTTGGCTGAAACGACGATGGACTATTTTCTATGAAGCGAGATGAGCGGCATAGAAAAGTTATTAGACTTTTTAAAGAGAATGGTCAGGGGTTCAAGGCCCACCTCTAGCAATGGAATTCTTTCAGGCACTTAATAATTTAGAAAGCTTTCTCTTAATTTGAGAAAAAAATTTAGTCAGTAGTAATAAAAATATTCCAGCAGCAGCAATTCTCAATTCGATGTTAAAAGGATTACGAGAAAAACACTCGATTGGTTGGATACGAGTAAAAACAAATTATACGAGAAAAAGGCTAATCCTATGTTGACCTGGTTCTTGTATAACAAATGTATTCAAACCGCAGCGATTACAAACGGGACCTAACACGTTGTATTTTTATATCAACCCTTGACTTTTCATGAAAAGGGCATGCCCTGAACACGTGGCCAGGGTACATCTCCCTGAGAGATGAGACCCTTTTAGTTGGAACCCAAAAATTTCACGGATCTTTTCTCATAAGTCTGTTGCAAAAAAGTAAATAAAAAATACTTAGGTAATTTATGAATAAGAAACATTGTGTTCATCAGCACATATACCGTAGACAAATATCTTCAATTGGCTAGAATGATTTATTAAAATTTTCCTGGACAGTGAACTGCTATAGCCGTCATAACAATTAAACTTCTATTGTGTCTGGGTTACTGTCCGGGAAAGTTTTAAGGTAAGGAATATGCACAATATTCCTTACCTTAAAACTTGTTCTGTTTTGAGGTAAGGACTGTTCCACATTTTTCTCCCGAAGCAGTGACAAGCTTAAAAAGTTAGAATATGTTGGGGCTTGGGATTCGTAAAATCGTCTACCTATTAGGGACATTGAAATCTCGCCCCTCACTCTAAGCCTAGGTGCAGACCATCGATTTTTCGTCGGCCGATAGTTTAGTCGGGCAGTTGATCAGTATGGGCATGTATAGAAGTGCGCACATTACGCCGATTCGATTTGGCCGATTCTTCATACAAATTAAAATCGGGCCCAACTATCGGCCAGCTAAAAATCGGTGGGCTGCGCCAAGTCTAAAAGAATCCATGTCCATAAAGTCATCATGCCAAGAAACTGTCTTCATCAATTACCAGTGTTAGTGCCTCCAGTGAATATCCAAGCACCAGTGGTCTTCGCGGCCTTCAGCAGGCCCTTCCTCAGGACCTTCTTCAGCTTGGGCTGTAGGTCGAAGTTGGCCTTGCCTCCCTGGATGGTGATGAGCAGCTTCGGCCGGTCCAGCGCCCATTCTCTGGTCAGCAGCTGGACGATCAGCTCGGGCCGAGTGTCGTGGGAGAGGCGGACGTACTGGAAGATTTTAGTGAGGATAAGTATGAAGTAACCTTAGTGTTTGATAGAGATTCCAGAGAATTGAGGATTATTTTTGTTTTTGAGTAACATACGAGTAAGTATGTGTTTACCAAGCCAATTAGTGATGAAGAAAATTAATTACCATATTTTAAATTAACCATGCATTTAGAAGCTCATCTTCTTCTTCTTCGTTAGTCTGGCTAAAACTCGAGAACGGCAGGACCGATTTGGCTAATGTTTGTCTTGAAATATTTGTGAAAGTTCAGGGAAGGTTTAAACGGTGAAAAAACACAGTTTTTATAAAAAAAAATATAGCGGTACAAAGTTCGCCGGGAAAGTTAGTTGCCTAATAAAGGAAAAGTTATAAGATTATTCTTCATTAAGTTATAACATTATTTCCATCACGGTGGAGCTGGTTGGAGTTGGATGACAAGGGCCAGTTCCCCTCGTAATAAAATTCTCATAATTGCAAGTTCAGACCCACTTACCATCCGACCGTTATCTATTGAGCTGAACTGAAATGCATTCATGTTTAAATCGCGTTACAATGCAACATCACGATGACATGAGGCTGATCTGAAGGACTGGTTAAAAATGTCGCACTATCCTCCCTTTGTTCCCCTGATCTTTAGTAGCTCATACCTATGTACCAACCACTAAGGTTTTCAACATTTAAAACTCATATCATACCTGTGCCTTAGTTGGATGCGGCCCGCCCTGGAACTCGACGGTGCCATACGCGTCCGTAGGCGCTGCCTGCGTGTGCCTCGTAGGCACCCAGGCCTCGCCCGCCGTGGCCACCGCAATGCTCGACCCGTGGGCCGTCTTGCTGAGCCCGCACCAGCATCTGTGGAAGAAAAACCAGATTAATAAGGAATAAGGGTTCCTTATCAGGACTACGGAAGACGGAACCCTAAAAAATACGTGGTCTATGCTTATTTTGGTCCAGTTGACAGTATCTGAAGGAGAAGGTCCAGTTTAGAAAGTTTATAAATGATTCGTTAATATTATGGTGGTGCATGACAGATGAACAACCAGGTTGTGGTTCTTCACAAAGGTTGCCGGCAACCTAGGCGAAGAACTGACTTGAGTCTAGTACAGACCAACACTTTTGTTGAATGTATTGTTGTTATTTTCTATCAAAAGTTAATTTAATTGGGATTTAAATCATAAAGCTGTATTTAAATAAGAATACAGGAAAAGAAATAAACATAATATGTGGAGTTCAATGACCTGTTAAAACTTTTTTGGCAGAATTATGTAAATCACGCGTGACAGGTCGCGCGCTGGCAACCAAGAAAAGAACATAAACAGAAAACAAAAGCGCATTGGTTTTTTGACAGCTGCATTTCAAAGTTCTACATATTTTGCCTTTACGTTTTACAAAATAAACAGTACAAAATTATTAGTTACTTCTGGAAAAAAGTTGCGATGGAAGATGACAACGCAAAGGAGGATAATCAGCCGTCCGCAAGTAAGAAAGAAAGCCAAAGGATGACGTCAGCACAGGACCTGTACAACGACAGGCGCAAGTATGAGGAGAGGAGAGATGACCATGGCTCGAACAGTATGACTCGAAGCGAGTCTTTTACGTCTGCTTCGTATTCTGCGAGGAGTCGACTGGATATGGCGGATGGCAGTCCAAAGATGCCGAAGCCTCCTATAGTTAAGAGAGAGACAAAACCCCCGGAAAAGAAAAAGAGGGGGCGCCGACCAGGCAGAGTGGAGAAACGGCGACGATCGCCAACGCGGCGGGCGGCGCTCCGAAGAGTGCCCAAGCGTAAACCTAGAAAAGAAAGGGAGCTGTCTGTGTCAACCATATTCACCAGACTGTCATCTCTGAGTGGCTCCAGAACTCCAGGCTGTAAGTTCTGTGGGCACCGATGCTGCCGCAGAAGGTAGACTGATTTTAGTTTCCTATTGTAAATTCCGTGTTGTTTTGTAACGTCTTTTACTTTGTAATGTCATTAAACTTTTTATTTTGAAGTTCCTGTTTCATTTACTGAGTGTAGAATAGCCCATTTTTATCAGATTCGAGTACCAAAGGAGATATAGCAGGAAATACTATAATAGAAGGAAACCAAGAAGAGTTAAAAGGAAAAGAGTGATTCCCAAACTTGACGACTTGTTTCCCACCAACCAAGGTTAGATTAATATTATTTAATGTTTTAAGAAAATAGGTACAAAAGTAGTACAATTTAGGGCTTTCATATCATTTAATTATTTTCTTGTTAGTAAAATGAATAATACCTTTCATAATCCCCGACTTCTCAGAATACTTTCTCAAAACTCTTAGCAAACAATTAGTAAGGTTTTGTATGTTAAATGTAACGTTGTTGCTGCTTAGTTACAAAAGAAGTAGTAATTACACAACATCCATATCAGGGGTTTTTTCAAATGGTGAAATATTACACAACTCTCGTTTAATTTAACATGTAGCTAACACTTGTCAAGGCTTATAATAGGTTGTAACTTTACGAAACTCGTGAACGACAGAAGTTCCGAAACATTATCCCTGGGTTAATACTTTGATCGATGGCTGTTTACCAACTTATCAATGAAACGGATTCGTACGAACTTTGGGAAAGTAATAAATGTAATCTATTACTTATTTGCTCCGGTAGAAAAGCTATATTTTCCAGACGGCCCAGAAAGAGGACATTACCACGTTCCACTACAACTATCTCAATGTACACATAAAGTTATACTGAGACACCTTATTCAGTTGTCATAGATGCTATATTGAAATGAAAATACAGTCTGATGTGCTGTGGACTGTGCCTCATGTGGGCCAGGGTACAGTAGGTAGCACAAGTAAAGTTTGATCAGTGTCAAAACATAGCACACTTGTGACATTTTAGGCACAAAAATGATCCAAGTGGGGTCGCGGAGCATGATGCTATCGCCCTTGTTCATCGGCACTAATACCACACCCATTGAAGAGTTGCCAGATGAGAAGAATACGTACATTGAAGTAAGTAAATATGTATGATTATGATGTCTAAGCCCGGTCTGTGAGCACGTAGAATTTTGTCCAATGACCCCTAGCTACCCATCCTTATCGCTGTAATAATTACCCATCCTTATCTCTGTTAATTATATTGCTGTCGCGACTATGCGACTGGCACCCGCAGTGAGTGTGCGAGCGCGATAGCAACATAATTACGCGCGAGCGATAAGGATGGGTAGCTTGGGGTCATTGGACAAAATTCTACGTACTCACAGACCACACTAAGGCTTAGCCGGTAATGAGCTGATCAAACTAATGCAATGGCAGGAGATAGAAACGATCAGGGGAGGTATAAATGAGCCAAGAGAATTCCTCCTACTATAAATATTGTTACACCTATGTTCCACAAATAAACGCATTTGAATTGATTTGATACTTGCAGCCTACACGTGCCTATGTAGAGACACAAAGGGAACACGACACGTGTACATTAGTCGAGTTAAATATGAAAGTTTTCTACAGTGATCATTATGGAGTAGCCATTAATATACCCATTAAAAGTTTATAAAAAAGTTAGGAACTAATTTGTTTTTGAATAAAAAAGTTGTAACATTATGTATGATAAGTCGGACCAAAATTAAAGCACGCGAAGCTGCCGACAAACTATAAAGTTTATATTTTTTTCATTCGTAAACTTAAAGGTAAAATAAAATTAATTTTGCAATGGACATTTTCTACGCAGTTAATTAACCTATTTGCCTCCAGCTTATGAAAACATCGGCGCGTTGGGACGAGATAACCATGTAAATGAGGATTTATTGGATTCACTTGGTTCATCAAATGCTTTTAGTTTATTCAGTTTTCTACGTAATTTTAAGCGTGGTTCATTCATAATTTCCTAGTAACTCATGGTTGGTTAACCCTTTAAATTCACAGAATGCTTTGGGAACGAGAACGCCCGCTTAACCTTTATTCTACTTTTTTCATGAAAATAGGTCACCCCAGAAATGATATACCAGGCACTTCGAAGACTCACCATGTGGAGGCAGTTTGTGTTAACCAGCTCTATTATGGACTATTTGAAGGTAACGATTTAACTTCTTTTGTAACAAAATACATTTGGCAGCAGCATACATATACATTTTTAGATACTGAACGTTCAAAAATATTAGTAGTTGTTTTGATTCCATTCTCGAGATAATGTAACAATAGCAACTTTCTTTTAATAATCAAGTACAATAACCATTTAATTAAAAAAAATGAAAGACCTATTTTCAAAAGATGTGCAATGTATCGAACGCTATCAGAATAGAGCCTGCGGCATACTCGTAGCTTAGTTAGAACATTGCATAATGGTTCGCCGTCAAATTGCATTCCGGCTCGCTTTGCGGCTATTCGAACGAGACTCGTTTTCTGTTAGTGACAAATTGAGGGTCGCGGTATTATCCTCAGAAGTTGGTATTTAATCGCATTCATATTAGAACGAGCTAGTAACGAATGAACGAAAAGGATTGAATAATAATAATGTTCTGTCCATATTGATAAAAGAAAACAAAACACTGATGATTTAACCCTTCCAGTCCTACGAATCCAGACAATAGATAAATCAATTGTTACGCGGTCATATGCGACCGCTTGCTTAGAGATTGATGGGGTAACAAAAACCCTTTTATTAAAATACGAGATAACCGCAGGAAAAACTTGTTCTCTATAGGTAAAGAGCTCCATTTCTTAACAGGAACAGGTCTATAGATTTTCACAACCAAACCTCAAATAATGCCTAAGATTTTGATGACATAACATAAAGTTAGAATAATAATTTACTATTAGTCTTAGAATGTCTTACTCTTTGCCGAATAATAAATAGGGTAAACCAGAGAGTGATTGCCCACTGGTAGTGATTGCCCGCTTTAAGAACAATATTGTCAGGTGCTGACTTTGAATCACTCTAGTTAGATTTGAATTTACTAAGTAGATGGCTCCGTGATCAATGTACAGTAGATTTAAAATTTACAGTAGGAAACACTAAAAAAAAACAGTTATGGCGGATTTTGTCAAGACGGGTGAAAATGTTACTCAAACAGGTAAAGACTTTAACAATTTTACTAAGGAATTACTTGCTTAGAGGTTAAATTTTTTTTCCAAGTTATTTAATATTCAACTAATGGTGTATAGTCATGATGAAATTATAAGTGTTTTCTTCATTATCAATGAAAATAACTGATAAAATTTGATTTCTAACGGTCATTTTAACGGTGGGTAATCACTGCACGTAAATCTGTATATTTTTAGTTATTGCCCACCATCATTTCAGTTATTGCCATATGTTAATGTATAGTTATTGCCCAGTAAATTGATTATTTTGTTTTAAGATACTGGGCAATTACTGTGCTTTGTTGTGGGCAATTAGTGTAAGTAATGGGCAATGACTGTACTTTTTGGAGGATTTTAAATTTATTTCAATATTTTCTAAGTTACGTAAGTTTTAACTAAAAACTGTTAATATTCAGTTTAACAGTTTATTGAGTTATAAGAAAAAAGTCATAAATGGTCGATAATTAAAATACTTTCTACAATTTTTCATCTCAATGTGTTTGAAATCTTTAAGTGGGCAATAGCTATACGGTTTACCCTACATTAGATTTATAACAATTGAACTAATCTTTGAGAATATTTCGCCACGTTCGAGGCTTAACTTTTCAATTAAGCCGTTTAAAAAGTTTGATTAAATTAAACCTTTTTTTATGGAAAACGACCCAGTCTCGCTAGGGTGTTAATTAAATTGTATTTCAGCCCAAAATATTCTAGTTTTTTTTTGTGAAACGGACTAATTAAATGTTTACGGCCCCTTATTCGCACGGACCCCAATAACGAGGCAAACGGACAAAACTGTTATTTGAGATCTTAGAGTTGAGTGTTTGAGTTCAAAATCAATTGGAAGTTTAATCGTCGTAGTTTGATTGCTTTTGATTGGCCCACGATATTAAATTTGTTTTGCATTTACTTTGATTGGGATACGAAATATGCATTGGGATGTTGCCAGTGCTTGAAATAAAGTTTAAAGAAAGATTTTATACTTAAAAGTGCCGTTATATTTAGATTAGGCCTGGTAAAAGTTCGGCTTTAACAAAGATCTAATGATAAATGAGATAACGAACCTAGTGTTAAAGTGAATGAGTCATCACAATGACTAAGTCTGGGTTACACTATCTTACTTTAACTTTAACTAACGTCAAAAATCTGTCAAACTCCATACAAAAAACACCGGTTATCGTCAAGTTACGGTCAAAGTCCAATGGTACAATTCACCCTAAATCTTCACTCCGACTGAAGCCTAAAATTGAAAACAAACTTACTACAAAGACAATTTTCGTCACATCAGATTTCAAAACACATGTCTTCTATTCAAATAAACCAAAATGAAAGGTTGTGACGAACAAAACACCCTTTTGCCGTGCAACAAATTTATTTGGCGTAATACGACGAGGTTTCTTAGCGGGAATTTCGTAGAAACCTGTTACGGTCGCGCACAAAGGCACACTGGGGCGCGGGGACAAAGAGCCACTACAGAACAAGACTGGGGCTTTAGGAATCAGTTGTTGGGGGTAAAAACCTTAGTATATCTTTTAAAGAAGATCAGCTTCAAAAAAAGCATAAAATCAAAATCAAAAATATTTTATTAAATTTTGACCACTGGTGGCACTTGTGCATAGCAACTCTTATACCTTTAGCATAGGCCAACAAGCAGCGTAGGACGTCCACTCACAAGGTAGACCGACGTCCTCTTAAAGGTAGCAGGAAGGCGCTGGATGCAGGACGTTAACAACAGGTCATTATGGAAATCATTGAGGAAGGCCTATGTTCAGTCAGCAGTGGTCTATAGCTAAAATGATGGATGTTGATAGGCCAACAAAGATTAATCCTACTTTTCTTTAAATAGATGCAGGGAATAGTACCTACTCCCCATATTAAATAAAACACACCACAATCAACAGCTTTCAAAAACCAATTCACACAGAAACGGTTGTCACGATCACTGCGACGTGCATTTAGAGTCGCTTGTTGGCTCCACACTGCGTTATTTCCAAACGCAAGCATGATGCAAAATTCTGATCGCCAAAAAAGATGCTACGTTTGTTTACTTCGATGACATGCTAACGCAATCGTGTACCATCAGTGTCATAATGGAATTGGATCTGAAAAACATAGGACCAATGAAATTGTTACTTATTTCTACCGGCAGTAGGATTGCTTTTCATTTATGAACCAGCAGAGCAGACCACAGATCTACGAGTATGCTTCATTGATTATGTGCACCGCAAGCCGCGGCTTGAACAATCAAATTCCGCACCGGCAGATTGGGGCAATTTTCTGCGGGCAATTTATCTTGTAGCATGAGTGGGTCTTGGAATTGTTGGAATGGAACTTTTCACTGCATTTAACAATTTATCTAATGTGTTGAAGGAATAATTCAGCTTTCTTATTGCGTCTAATATGGTACCTACAATAAAAAATTACCAATATTTTCGAATCAAATCCTCGTCCAAAATAACAGGTGTGTATTTGCTAGGCTATAAAAATGCTTTTCGATCTTCTTTATTTAGCTTGTAAAAATGGTGATCACAGCCCCCATATCAGAATTTATAAAGCTGAATGAAGTAGTTTATTATGCTTTTACAAGCAAGGAATCATAAATTCCAAATTCAAGTTAAGGTAAGGATCCAAGTTTTTGCCAATAATATCGTTTTATCTAAAACACTTGATCTAGTAAGTTAAAATAGCTACCTACGCAATCTCAATTTAAATATCGTTTTATATCAAACGCTTGAACTATAAAAGTAAAATAATCTACGGAACCTCGATTCCTTAGTAAAATTGCGTCTGCTTTCATTTCCTTGCATTTCTGCAGGCGGAGTACATTTCAAACGGATTCCGTCTTAGTAACGGCACACACCGACTCTCATCCAATGTTGGGAACGCTGTTATTGGACATACATTGCTGTGCATTATTCGATTGTGTTTGACAGTAGACCGCGACCGGTATTAACTTACCTTAATTCAAAAGGTTTAATTCATCGTCACTTATAATTTGGGTCAAACTTCTGCATCAATTCTCAATAAAAAACTTGGCACTTAGCGAATGGTATAATCGATTATTTTATACTTCTGCGTCCATATTAACTATCGATAGTTTGTTTTTTTACCAATGTAGCTCGATTTGTTAATCAGAGTTATTTTTTCAGAGAAACTATCCAGTTAATCGTGATGAAAAGGAGCTTCTGATGGAGCTGGAAGACAAGCTGAGAGTGGCTTCTATTGTTGGTATGGCATACTGATCTGTTAAATCATCAATTTTTTACCATAAAAAAGCGAACTGTTAACTAATTACTTTTCTATATTTCACTTGCCTTATGTAAATTATTGTCAGGAAGTATAAATATTTTCTGTATTATAGGTATAGTGACTAATGTGTCTGAAGAACGATGGTGTCTCCAAAAGAGAACCCTGGACAAAACACACGTGACGAAGTTCTGGCAGATCTACGGGGACACAATGAAACCTGTACGAAGACAAAAACCAGTATGTATTATTATGTCCATATTCTTAATAACTGGTAGAGCTTAACATATACAACGTGGTTGAATTATCTGCGCAATTGGCAGCCGTGACGTCACATCGACGCTCTGGTATGGACGGGAAGTGCGAGGAAGAGTCGCATTCCAGCGAGGTGCACAGTAAACTCAATCATGTTATAAAGGACCGTTAGAGTACCCGTTTCTGCAGCAATAGGTTACAAGACTCATAAAAAATATATATGTTACAGGAAATGTATGAAATCCGTCATTGTATACAATTCCTAGGAATTGTGTATAAGTCCTAAAATCACCCGGAAATGTGTAATGTAAATTATATTAGACACATTTCCTAGGAAATTTACACATTTCCTAAACAGCAATCGGAAATGTAATTAAGATATTTTCTTTTTTTTCTCCGAAACTTAAATGGCGCTGCTGCGCCGCGGCAGCTGTGTATGTGTAAGGTCGCAAGTCTAACCTAACCTAACCGAGACTTAGTTATCCAGCTACAGGAGTACTAAAACCTTCATGCCAATATTAGTTTAATAAAAGTGATATTAAAATTAGGGTTTTCCAATACTTCAGCGTAATATGGGTGATGCCGAAAGAAAGGTATGCCAATAGGCAAGTATTTTTTTTCGGCCAAAGTATAATAGTGCGGTAACAACTGTCAGGCTAAACATTAATTGTTGTGAGTTAAAAGTACTAATCGGCCAATGTGGTTTGGCTAAATGAAATTTTAGGCGTACTGAGGGGCACCCGTTTTATACATTTCCTAATACAATATTGGAATTCTATAAAATTCCTAGGAAAAGTATACATGTCCTAGGATATGTGCGTATTAAAAAATCTCTGAAGCAATATTTTATACATTTCCTAAATAGCTTCGGAATTGTATACATTTCCTAGGAATAGTATACAATTCCTAGAATTCATACATTTCCTGTAACATATACAATACATATACTTACATCGCTTACATAAACATAACCCTTTCCTTTGCAACCGGGCAAACATAAAAGTTTGATCCACTTTCAACCTCATCTACTTTGGGGAATCTTTGTTTGGACGTTAATACCACTTACTCTTCTTTATTCCACTTTTGATGCCATACCGTTTGCATTCCAGCCGATTGCAGACAAAGGAGTAGAGAAAGAAACGAATGCGCGAAAACAGAACTGCTCAGCTCTTTGGATACGCGAGCCGAGTGATAACATAAACAATAACGAGTACCTTTAACTGTGATACTTGTTTGTTCTTAAAGAGAAGCGTTACATTTTTTTTTTATATTTTTGTGAGCTTTTTAAACAATTGTAGTTTTCTAGAAGATTTTTATATGTATAATATACATGTGAAAACATAATTGTGCTGTAATATTTCAAAAGTGAATGTTAGTCAAATCACGTAAAAGCTTGTAATTTACAAGTTGGCATGTTGTATTTCCGTTACTTGTGCGCTTATTCAAAATAAAAGTCACAATAGAAATTATAATTAAAACCTAGTAACTTCCTTCTTTTAAGAAGAACCTAGGTACATAAAGCTATTATTTGCATTCAACCACAAACACAAACCTGCAAGGTTTCGTAACGCTGTAGCACTCGTTTCGTAGTCGCTACGAGCACTACGAACTACGAGAAGCTTTACGTATTCCGCTACGGCGTAGTAGGGTAGGAAATCGCTTATCGATATTGAAATACAGACGATAGCTAGATTTAGGTACTGGATCTTATTTGGTAGAAATAGGTGCGATTTTTCAACAGAAATATAGTCTGATGTGATGTTGACTGTACTTGAAGTTAAAGGTATAGGAATATTTTAAGGCCGGGTAGCAGAGAAAATGGCGAAAATGAGGTTTTCATTTTTCATTTTTGAGGTACTAAACAGTAAAATTAAAGGCTAAGATTTTTATTGGGCATAGTTGAGGATATTTTCTAGGGCTATTAACGGATGGAAACACGATTCNTATAAAAATTTTGCAACATTTAAAAACCGTGTGTGATGCTCATTGCTCATAGTGATTTTCGATACAGAGCCCCGTACATACGTTATACATAAATTATGGAAAGAAAACACCCAGACCAATACAAACAAATATGTATGCAATTTTAGTATGATATTTTTATTTAATAAACAAAAAGACTGAACAAAATTGATGCGTGTACTGATTAATGTAATTAACCACCTCGCAAAGTTTCGTGAATTGCAACAACTATAATTTATTATCCAAGCTCTAAATAATCGCTACTACGAGTAACTGATCATAAAATGTTTTTCCAATCGCTCAAGCTCCCGAGGATCTACCGATAGGTCGGGTGACGTAATCTTGAAATTATTTTAGCCGGCGTGGAACTTCCGGAAAGGTCGGGTGACGCCACGCCTCTTTGAACCGTGTTTACTTTGTCAGTTATATTCTATATTTATTCGATTCTAAAATATATTCCTAAAAAATTTGAAAGTTGTTTTAATTTGTATCACTTGGATATGATTTGTAATAGAAAGTGCTGTGAGTGTGACGCTTGAACGGAAGGAAGTCAACCTAACCTAACCAACTGCGTATTTCTAAACTGCGCATTTCTATACTGTGTAGCCGCGAGAGCTCTTTGGCGCGCTGTCTTCGGCGAAGTATTGCGCGCGCAGATTTTGACAGCGCGAAATACCTACTTTAGCAGAAATACCAAGCCTTAAAAGCAAACCGGACGGAAAACGCATGTGGCACTATCCTTATTGAATTTGAATTCATCCACTCCGCTATGAAACTGTAACCTTTAAACCAGTTTTCAAACAGGAAATTGAAATGGCACTGGTTTTAAAAGCACAGTCTATGGAAACGTTTGAAAAAATTCGCGGCTCTGTAAAAATACTGGCCTTTTCAGAAATGACTGTTTTTATTCGAAACTTTAGGGTAGGCAGAGTTATTCTGTTATTGTAAAACCTTGAAATTAAACTCGATTGTTCGAGAATTTGCCTTTTCCTTGGTGTAACTAATAATAATAATATGCCATTTGATCTTAGCTCAGGATTTCCAACAATGTATTAAACTGAAGCAAAGCAAAGGCGTGTTCCTGAATTGTTTAAGTAGGTACACACAAAGGCTTTTAGTGTTAAATACATATATTATGATAGGTGAAATCAAAAGGCGACGTGTGTGAGTATATTGACTAAATTAGCTTAATCAGAAAACATCATTCTGCAATTAAAAAAAGAGCATATAAAGGATTATAACATTTGGATGCTTTAAACCCGATTCGACCAAGCTTTTATCAGAGAATAACTCCTGGTATAAATGGCACATTGACAGTTTCATAACTGACGATTTATTCTGAGATTAATATTTACTCTTGTTAGGTCGAATCCACCCATTTTTAAACTATGTCAATTACCTATTACGTGTACATTATTCAGATTTATTTTCTTTATCTAAGTAGTCACACAAATGCGGAATAGCAAAGTATAAACCAGTATTACGGGTGAGTAGGAGTATCCTCTCGGCTAGAGATTGGCGCTTTCGACGCGTTCGAGCGCCATAAGCGGCGCTAATACGATTCCCTAGGCGATACATACGAAGTTCTATTCCACACACTACGGAATCTATAAACAAGTGATGAGTTAGACGCCTTTGATCGGGGGATTTACTGTATAAATACCATGGTAGGTATGTGTGAATTTTTCTACATCGCATAACTGCCTACTTATACAGGGTGTTAGGTAAATGGGTATATGAGCCGGCACTAGCCCATGTTAACATAGTCATATAAATGGTATGGTGAAGTCAGAAAATTGATATCTTCATTTAAATTATTTTAATTTTCATACAAATCGGATTTTATAAAATTTAGTATCGTCGCTAGAATAGAATAGTTTTTTTTTTGAAAGAAAGGTATACAAGCAGGCAAGACATAGGTACATAATGAAAGTACACAAAGTTAGAGCCCAATGCTGATACTTTGGTAGCGCTAGCGTTCAATTAGTTAATCCAACTCTCATATTCACTAATCCTGCAACTATAAAATGAAAGTATATTCTTCAAACAGTTTTCCTCCGTAATGTTCACAAAAAACCGATGCTCCAGAAACCGATTAGGAAGAATTGCTCTTTGAAACGGCAACGCTAAATGTGCAGAAACAAAGAAAGGGGCCACTATGACCGCAGAAGCTCTATGGCCTCTTTTATAAGCTTACGAGAGAGCTTTAAGCTATAAGCAGTTAGCGAACGAGTAGGTATTTAGATATTTTTTACGTGGGTACTTTCTTTGAGAAGCTTAAGTGCCTAATGTACAAAAACTACATAAGCCTAGGCGTTGGGCCCATTCTAATATCTACAGGGTGGAAACGATAAGTGATCTCACTCGATTATTTCGAAACTATACAAGATATCCAATAACTGGTTACTGATCCTGAAAGTGCTTCACAAGCTCTATCCAACGGTATCAATAATAGGTTACAAAATAAACTGGATCTATCCGAAAATTCAATGTTTCCAGCTTCCATACATTTAGTAAAACCACATAATATTAAAAACTATGCAAGGTATCCAAAAACTTGTTACTGATCCTGAAAGTGCTTCACGAGCTCTATCCAACGGTACCAATAATAAGTTACAAAATAAACTGGATCTATCCGAAAATTCAATGTTGCCTGCTTCCATACATTTAGTACTACAACAGTCATGGCACTCATGTCTTGATAATATTATAGCAAGTAAAGCCTAAAACCAATGTTTTCCATGAATAATTTTAAATAAGAATGCAATTTACGAGTTCATATTGTTTATTATTTATTTAAAAAAATTAACACTTCTAATATTGTGTGGCTGGCATACATTTAGTATGGAGGCTGAAAACATTGAATTATCGGATTAATCCAGTTAATTCTGTAACCTATTACATAAACCGTTGGAAAGAGCTCGTGAAGCTCTTTCAGGATCAGTAACCAATTTTTCGATATCTTGTATAGTTTATAAATAATCGCGTGAGATCACTTATCGTTTCCACCCTGTATAAAGAATCGGCCGATCCAGTGTGCGCACTCTCACACATGTCCAATCCATACTTACTGATTAACAGCCCGACCCGTGGCCTGACCGAACTATCGGCCGACAAAATACCTATATAATGTATTCTTTGATTGTTGTCTTAAACATTTTGTTTGCCTTGAGCTTGTAACGGTTTTTGTATCTTGGTTAATCTTTTAGCGGATAAAAAAATGTTTAGCTAAAACCCTTCCATAGTTTCAGAGCTTATCCTTACACCACAGCCATGAGGCCGTTCCGCAAAGAAACGAACTGGGTGGTATTGTTATTGGTCCGATACTGCTTACTGCACACTTGCCGTCCCGGGGGCGCGTCTTTCCGTTCTATACATGGCCAGAACGCACCCATAGGAAACTGCTCGTGTATATTTCGGAGTGCCCGTTTGTAAATCTGTGACTCCAAACTATACACGAATTTTGCGTACTGATCGTGTATAGTTTGGAAGAGCTTAGTAAAAAAAGTCATATCCAAACTATACTCGATTAGTTTCTACTACACCACTTACACTTGACTAGAGTGTGTTTAGTTGATATTGATTTAGTAAAATATGGAATTATATTTAAAATTACATTTATTCGATATTATTACATAAAATATTATTATTTTACTGAATCTATAATAAATCTAGATTTTTAACACTATTGTAAGTGGTTTTTGAAATTAAATTGATTAGGTAGATTTCAAATTCAATAACAATTATTAGTGTAATCATAAATTCATTTAAAATGAGAGAGAGTGAGAGAAGAAAGTTCAACGTGCATTATTAATACATTATGCGAGACTTTAAATGCTAGGTTTGTATTATCGGCCGTTTGGTGAAGTGGTTCGAAATGGACTACTATTCCGGAGGTAGCGGGTTCGATTCCCGCACAGTACAAACATTTGTGTGCATGAACATATTTGTTTGTATTGGACTGGGTGTTTTCTATGTATAGTAAGTAGTATGTATTTACAAAAAAAAAGTATTTAAGTATGAATGTTTAATACTTAGTATTATTTATTTATTTACACTTTTGCACATACAATTGTACAGTGGCGGACTTAATGCCAGGTGGCATTATCTGCCTATAATTATTAATTATTATTATTATGTACAAGCTTTGCTTAGTTTGGGACTAGAAACGCAGTGTAAAATTTCTAAGGATATTTATTTATTATTTATTTTATTTATTAACTTTTATATCAAGAACAAAACCATTTTGACATATTTC